GCCCCCGCATCCCGCGTCTCCGCCGTCTCCCTCTGCTCCCGCCCAGTCCTTCCCTCCCGCTTCCGCCGCAACAGCCGTCTGCCAGTAGCGATTGGAACTGTATCAAAGGCGCCTCATGGCACTCGAAGATTCCGGTGCGAGGCTGCAAGCAGCGGCGACGCGACGTCCCCCTCCTCCTCGTCGTCGCCGCCAGAACCGGCGGCCACGGCAACCCCAGCAGCAGCGGCGGGCGGGGCGAAGAGCCACGCGTTCATCCACGACTTCTGCTTCGGCATCACATTCGGTGAGCGCCGCTTGCCGCCTCAGCAACCCCAGCTGTCTCGGCGGGCCAGCTGCGAGTCCCAAGCGCGGCAGCCATCACACGCACACACACTCAGGCGCCAGCAGCAGCCTCGCTCGGCGTCATTTTCTTCCAAATGTTGGGTCCACACTTCACCCCTCCCCCTCACACCTCTCCAGCCCGTCTGACCTCTGCGTGAATTCGGGACGTCGTTGAGAAGTCTCTGTTGTCGTACGGCGGAAATATCATCAGTGCGCATGTTACCTGTCGTCGTGTCTGCCCAATCGCAGCAGTGCGAGTTTGGTCGCGTCCCTTCTCCTCTTTTCCCGTTCTCCGGTTCTCCTTCTCCCGCCTTCTTTCCCTCTCCCCTTCTCCCCCTACCACAGGAGCGGCAGCGGCAGTGGCGGGCGTGGCGTGGTTTTTGCTCACCAAGAGCGCGGACGCCCTGCGATTCATTCCGCCGTACACCCCCCCCTTCCCCCTTCGCTTCCCCCTCTTAGGATCGTAAACACCTTAGTCGGCAATAGTCTACTTGCTATTGCTTATCGTGTTCTCCACGATCTCCCGAATCCAATGATATGCGCAGCTCTGCTTGAAGTTGTCAATACACACTTCAGCAATTTTCAGAATCTGATTGGTATGATTTCCAGAATGAGTACAAGAAGTTTTATAGTTAGGCAAGACACAAAATGCGATTCGTAACTTCACTTGTTTCCCAAGTAACCGCGTGCGCCTCGTTTCACCCCGAGTCGCACACGCAACCGAACCGAATTCGGTGAACACTCCGCAAGTCCGAATCCCGAACTTTCTCGAACGCGCCTTGGTCTCGAAGCACATTTTTCCCCTCGTCAATCTCATTCTCGATGCTTCTCCTTCTCTCTCCCTCCTTCTAGCACATTTCTTCTCGATTTCTCTCCCGCTTCTCACGCCGTAGCCTCTATTCCCCACCGTAGGCCGATTTCCACCGTTTCACACACGCGCTTCCATTCCGCCGTCGTAGATGCTTTCGCCTTAGGTTCCGTGGTTGGGCGAACCAACCCTAACAATCTCCCCTGTGGTTCGTCAACCACGAACTCCACTCGCACTCCTCCCCTGCTCCTTGTAGCCTTCACAGGGTCTAAGTCGGCTTCACGCTCCCCTGCAGCTCCTGCACCTTGAACCTCTGCTTACGTGTCTTGTAGTTGAGCGCCTTGACATCCAAACCTTGAGAGATTTTCTTATGCCTCTCGCTTCTCCTCGGCATCTTTACACCCAACACCTCTCGGGTCTCGTACCCTTCAACGCGTTCATCCTCCTTAAGCACTTGCCCCTTTGCAGTTGCATTCGCCTTTGATCCTTTCACCATGATGTCCTCTTTCACAGCTTCAACTCCCACACACTTCGCATTTACTGCTTCATCTTCAACCACGATCGCTGCTGCAAAAGTGTTGACATCGTCTCCATCTCCACCGTTTACTGCTGCTGCCTCCGTGATCACTATCTCCTCTTCCTGCTTCACTGCTGCCTCCACACTCGCTCCCGTATCATCCGTGTCCTCGCTCTTATCAACCTTAGTCAATAACTCCTCCAGTTCTCCCATCTCACCATACTCAGGATCCTCATAGATCTCATCCATATCATTCGTCGCGACCAAGTTCATCTCATAGAACCCGTCACTAAAGTAACCATCCGCATACTTCTCCCACTCAGGACCAAACACAGTCACCTCACCACTGTCATAGAATATCTTGCACCCCAAGTCATCAAGTTGTGACTGACTGACCAGGTTCACCTTTAAATCCTCAACCAGCAGCACATTCTCCAGTCTCATCTCTCCATACGGACTCTGCAGCACCACGTCACCCTCTCCTGTCACTGGTAACTTCCCACTGTTACCTTGTAGTATATAATCCTCACTCGACTCCCTCACATTCTCCATCCAATCTAACCTGAATGTCATGTGACGCGTGCATCCGCTGTCCATGAACCACGCCCTCTTCTCACGTCCATCTGTCTGAGCCTCCTTCGGTAAACGCACCACGTTCGCGAGATGCGCTCCTCCCAAAATCACATCCTCCTTTTCCGCTTCCACTACATTCGCCTTTGTCGCCACATTCCTCTGCTGCGACGGACCCTTGTAGCTCATGCTATTCGGGTTGGAGTAGCACTCTGCGGCACGATGCCCGTAGCGCCCACAATAATCACACTTGCCGCCAAAACCTCGTTTCTGCTGCCACTCCGCTCCTGCATTTTCTCCTTTCTCGTTCTCCATCGCTTTGCCCTTATAGTTTCTGCTTCGCGGGTTCTCGTAGCAATTTATCGCCTTATGCCCGCGCTTTCCACACTGGTAGCATGCTCCAAACGCCTTCGTGGCATTCACCAAAGCGGGCCTCTCCTCATCAAACTCCTTAGCTACTGCTGCTGCTTTCTTCTTTCTCATCTCCTTAACCGTCTCAAGCGACTGTAGAATCTCCTGCAGCTTCATCAAACTCTCCGGCGGTTGGTACGTAAACATACCGATGTGGGATTCCCACTCTTTAGGAAGTCCTTGGATGATATAGTCAATCATCTCGTGCTCCGTCTCCGCGGCTCCCATCACCCGCAAATCGTCGTTGTAGCTTTTCGCCCTGTTGATGTAGGTGATGATTTTCTCGCCTTTCTCCATGCTCAGCATCAGCAGTTGCTTCCTAATCGCCTTCTTGTTGACATCGTTCGTACCCATGTATGTGGACTCCAGGTACTCCCACGCTCGCTGTGCAGGGTTCAGCTCCCCTGCAAACTGGTCCAAATCCACCGCGATTCCATCGGCAACTGAATGACAAAGCTGAAAGAAAGCTTGCTTACTTTGTTTTTTAAACGCCGCTATTTTCTCCTTCGTATCCGTCGTGGAAGGCGCAACTCCCTCGATCGTCTCCTCGTCGGGACGGTAGTACGGCAAGAGGTCCACCTCCTCTGCCCTTCGAATGAACTTCTTTCGCCACACGTTGTAGTTGCTTCCATTGAAGCGCTGAGCTTCACTGAGCCCGATCGTCGGTTTCGCCACCAATCGGCCACTCGCAAGGGCCTCGAGAAGAGCCTTCAACTGCGGGTCTCCAAGACTCACACTGGAACCCGAACTCGCCTCGTCTCCCATAGCGTAGGCGAGAACGACTCCTCTTCTCCACTAATTTCACTTAGCGCACCAACTGAATTCGCGACGATCGACGAGCCCGTTCGTCAAGCTCTGATACCAGTTCTTAGGATCGTAAGCACCTTAGTCGGCAATAGTCTACTTGCTATTGCTTATCGTGTTCTCCACGATCTCCCGAATCCAATGATATGCGCAGCTCTGCTTGAAGTTGTCAATACACACTTCAGCAATTTTCAGAATCTGATTGGTATGATTTCCAGAATGAGTACAAACAGTTTTATAGTCAGGCAAGACACAAAATGCGATTCGTAACTTCACTTGTTTCCCAAGTAACCGCGTGCGCCTCGTTTCACCCCGAGTCGCACACGCAACCGAACCGAATTCGGTGAACACTCCGCAAGTCCGAATCCCGAACTTTCTCGAACGCGCCTTGGTCTCGAAGCACATTTTTTCCCTCGTCAATCTCATTCTCGATGCTTCTCCTTCTCTCTCCCTCCTTCTAGCACATTTCTTCTCGATTTCTCTCCCGCTTCTCACGCCGTAGCCTCTATTCCCCACCGTAGGCCGATTTCCACCGTTTCACACACGCGCTTCCATTCCGCCGTCGTAGATGCTTTCGCCTTAGGTTCCGTGGTTGGGCGAACCAACCCTAACACCCCCCTTGTCATTTCCCTCACCACAGGTGCGGCAGCGGCAGTGGCGGGCGTGGCATGGTTCCTGGTGACCAAGAGCGCGGACGCCCTGCGCGTGACAGCGCTGTTCGGCGCCACCATTGCGCTGGGCGGGGTGGGCAGCCTGCGGGCGTGGCGCAAGGGGCAGTCCAGCACACCCTACATCCTCGGGCAAGCAGGTGCGAGCAAGGGATGCCCATTCGTACACACACGCACGTGAATACACCTGCGCATGCACGCTGGGCGGGGTGGGCAGCCTGAGGGTGGGCAGCCTGAGGGTGGCAGCCTGAGGGTGTGGCGCAAGGGGCAGTCGAGCACACCCTACATACTCGGGCAAGCAGGTGCGCGCTCAACCATACGTGTGCACCTGAATACACATGCGCATGCACGCTGGGCGGGGTGGGCAGGGCATGGCGCAAGGGGCAATCCAGCACGCCCTACATCCTCGGGCAAGCAGGTGCGTGCAAGGGGATCCCAAACCATGCACATCTGTACACATGCATGTTTATGCCAACCGTGCACATGCATGCACGCATACACATAGCACGTGAATACCCACCCATACACCCCACCCACCAACAAGAACACACACGTACGACCACACTCTCCCATTCTCTCCCCTACACAAACCCCTTCCTCCCCCTCCCCCCCTTCCCCCCCTTTTCAACCCTCACCCCACCACATAGCGCACCAGCTTCCATGCCGTGTCACCTCAACTGCAATTTTCCTTCCCCTCCCGCCATGCATATCACCCCCATGCCATGCATATCACCCCCATGCAGTGCTCGCTGCTGTCTTGGCATACCAGGCATCCGTGCGCCTGCAAATGGTAAGCCTTCTGATACCCCTTCAGACAGTCTTTTGAATAATTCTCTCAGAATCTGTTGCTCCAGTCCTGCTGTTTGTTGTTCCTTCACCCGCCTCACTTTGAGTCTGCCACATGCCCCTACCTAACCGCACCTTGACCGCACCTCCACCTGCCTTAACCACACCTCCACCCGCCCTTAACCGCACCTCACCTCCACCTGCCTGCAGTCTCTGTTTTTTCTCCTCAAGCATCTTCTCTGTTGCATTTGCTAGCACTGCTCCCTCTCACTGCTCCCTCTCACTGCTCCCTCTCACTGCTCCCTCTCACTGCTCCCTCTCACTGCTCCCTCTCACTGCTCCCTCCCTCACTGTTCCCTCTGACCTGAATATTATCGCCACTCCATCTGCACAGATTCTTCGTTTTTAGTCATGCCATGCTGATGCAATGCTGAGCTGTGGGCTCAGACTTTCCATGTATTCCGTGTGTGCACATTGTTGTGTATAAATCTGATCCTGTGTGCACGCGCGTGCTTGTGAATTGTTCTGCAGACGGGAGCTATTTTCCCTTTGGGTCTTGGCGTGGCGGTCAGGTGAGAAGAGCGCAAAGGATCAGCATCACACATCCTTGTTGTTTTTTGTTCCGGTCACTGCATGTCACTAGCAGTGCGCATTGCCGTGTGGGATCGGATCACACATGCATGCGCTCCTAAACCTACATTTCTGCTCGTCGCATTTTATCCCATCACACTGCCATCCGAATTCCGCGTTCCCATGTTCTTGATGGGGCGTCATTCTCCCTGCAGGAAGCAAGTGCCAGTACAAGCTCACTCTCACTGTTGCAATTGCTAGCACTGCTCCCTCTCACTGCTCCCTCTCACTGCTTTCTCTTACTGCTCCCTCACTGTTCCCTTCCTGATTTTTCCTCTCTCCTCCCCTTCCCCTCCCCGCCTCCCCCCTTTCCCCGTTTTTCCTTGTCTCCCCCACAGCGCTGCCATGGTGTTGTTCTATATCTACGTGATCATGGCGGGCGGCAATCCCCCCCCTGGTTTTTCCCCCCTCCACGCCTTCACCTCCCCTCTTCGACCCCTCCCTCGTTTTTCCTTGTCTCCCCCACAGCGCTGCCATGGTGGTGTTCTATATCTATGTGATCCTGGCGGGCGGCAATCCCCCCCCTAAGAAGAAGGCAGCAACTGCTGCTGCTTAGGGATCGTCAGTTTAAGGGGGATGGTACTAGCCCTAGTTCCTATGCCCCTCAAGCCATGTGAAGCCTCTGCCTCCCCTCGTTTTTTGGGTTACCGCTTCTCCAAGCATTACAGTTGGGTTTGGAGATGCATTTGGGTCTGGTTTTGCATGCATGGAATGGATGTACAAGTTTAGCATAGTGAATTATTAAATATTACCTGCAATCTGGCAGGCTTGGTTGTGCAATAGAGGAAGTCGAGTTCAATCTATTGTGCACTTCATGAGAGCTTAATTTTCATTACTAGATAGTGTGGATACATGCTCTAAGTCTTTCAGTGTGAAAATGACAGGTGCTCGGTGTAGCTGCTAACCTTGTTGTAAATCGCGTCATGCGACAGTTTCTCGTGCACTTCGTCGATTTCGTCTACTTACGGTCGGAAAGCCGACGAAAATGAGGGATAGAGTAACCAGCCAATTCACGCTCGCAGCAACCAACCGATCCGCCCGCCACCCGCGACTCTGTACCTTCCCTTCCACCTCACGCTTACACGCCCCTCCCTCACAGATATGGCCGTTCCTATCAGCGGCTTCTACCTCCACCGCGTATTTCCACCACGTAGCCTATCAACGCCGTCTTTACCATGTCGGAGCGTAGTCCACACGTCAGAGTCCTCAAGCGTGCCTCCCGACTGAGTCCGCGCGCAGTCATTCGCCATGGCGGCTCGAGCAGGTCGCAAACCGCACTCTTGTCCGAGAGCCACTGGAAAACCGACCTTCCGTGTTTCGAATTCGGCGATTCGGAGTGCAAAGGCCTATAAATGAGACGCTAAGCCTCTCCTGTCATCACAGCTTCCGTATTCGCTTCCCCCATTCTCCCTTTGATCGCGCATACCTACCACAGCGCTCCTCACAGCATAACTTCTCGACTGTGCTTCGCGCGTCAAACCGTCGCATCCGCGTGCAAGCTCAGCTTTTCGTTGCTGCTACTTTCTTCCAAGGCTATCACTGAGATCTGAAGGAGATCGGAGAACCAAGCCTGTTCCCAATGGCTGCTACTATTACCACTGCGGGGCTCCGCGGAGCGCGCAACCTACTTCTCCTTCCGCTCGCCTTCCTGCTGCTCCTCGCCGTCACCAGCGCCAGCGCCGCGCAGCCCGTCCTTCACCCCCCCTCCGCCACCGGCTCACCGCGCAACATCGCCCGCCGTGCTCTCGCCCGCGCGGATTCCGCGGTATCCCCGCACAGGGTGGAGCGGAAGCTGTTCAGCTGGGACGGCGTGACCGTGGATCAGATCATTGCCGGCAGCCTGGGCACGATCGACGGTCCAGATGACGACGAGGTGACGACGAAGATCGTGGATCTATTCATGAACGCGGGGTACAACGTGATGGTCATTCAGAGCGCCCACTCCGTGCAGGGCGACCCGGCGTCCGCGCAGGTGGAGGTGTGGCACTTCTGGGATAACTCCGAGTTCACCGTCTATTACAAGAAGGGACCCTTCTCCGTGGAGAACCTTGGCAATGGCGGGTACGAGAACTGGGCGTTCGGAGGCGTCTGGCAGCGCTACGGCGCGGATGAGAAGGTGGTTGTGTTCTCTTGATTGATTTAGTTACTGGTGTTCCATTGTTGCTAGAGCCTGGGGGTGAGTTTAGGCAAACCACTAGTAGATGTGACTAGGTGTTGAGCTGATGCTGCGTGTTGGTGGTGTGCTTGTTGCTGATAAGTCAGACTGTCTTATGTCCATCTTACTGGCTTCCTTTCCAGTGTGCACATGGTGCATGGATCCGAACGGTGGTCTGGTGCATGTAGTTACTCCATATGGTATTATGTGCCTTCATGAATTTCTACTCATACCAGTACTATCATTTGCACACTAAACAGGGTGGGGCATCAGGGGCTTTTTTTCACTGAGACACTCCCGAGGGCCTGAGCCCTCAGCCTCAGGCCAAGACCTCCGAACTGATAACTATTTTGTGATATTTCATGGACTTACAAATGCTTTCTCCTGAAGCTCCAGGACAAACGTTTCTACTTATTTTGATCAAGCACCGGCATATCTGAAACACATGTACCAGTATTTATTTTTACCAACACTTACAGAGAACCGTTTCACAGTAAGGTATTCAACCACATTGAAACCGGCTTCAACCACATGCCCGACCCCTGAAAACAGTTTTTCCTGGCGACAACCCTTGCGATGCTGGTTACCCTGCCAAAACTTGAACACCGTCACAGCTTTTCAAATTTAGGCGAAATTTGCTCGTTTTCGACAAACCATCCTAGTACCCTCGCCGATTTCGCTGAAGAGCGGACACACGACGAAACGACAGACTGACAGACCAACAAAGGGACAGCCAGAAATTTGTTCGCGTCTGTAGGGAAGCAACCAACCCGCCCAACCAGAATTCCAGAAAGAACAACGCACTTCCTTCCACCGCACGGCACGCTTCACCTCGCCTCCTCACCTCACACCACCACCACCACACAGATCACACACACTCCCTTCCAGAGTCACCATCCCTACCTCAGCTATCTGTACCCTGGGTATTGCCCGCACCGCAGTCTGTTGCACTGAAGAATCGCGATTAATTCGTCGCGTATCAGTCACGTCCAAGCGTAGAGCACACCACACGTCAGGGTCCCTACGCGTGCTTCGCGAATGAGTGCGCTCGCAGGGATGGTCATGGCGGCTCAAGCAACTCGCAAACCGCACACGTGTCTGAGTGCGACTGGAAGTCCGATCTTCCATTATCTCTCGGGCGTCCTATATATCAGACGCTCAGCCACGACACAGTCATCACAGCTTCCGTATTCGCTTCTTCCTTTCTCCCTTCCGTCTTCAAGTCGATCTTTCTAACCATCTCATCCTCGCGCGAGCTCAGCTCTCCACTGCTGCCATTTTCCTTCCAATCTATCCCTAAGATCTGAGCATTTAACCGCTTTCACTGAGATTTGAGCATCGAAGAAGGTTCCGATGGCCGCTACAAACGCACGGCTCCGCGCACCCCGCGAGCTGCTTGTTCTTCCGCTCGCTTTCCTGCTCCTCCTCGCCGCCACCAGCGCCAGCGCCGCGCGGCCCGTCCTTCACGCATCTCCCTCCGCGAACGGCGTCGCCCGCCGTGCGCTCGCCCGCGCGGACTCCGCCGTGTCCCCGCACAGGGTGGAGCGCCGAAAGCTCTTCAGCTGGGACGGCGTGACCGTTGATCAGATTATTGCGGGCAGCCTGGGCACGATCGACGGTCCAGAGGACGACGAGGTGACGACGAAGATCGTGGATCTATTCATGAACGCGGGGTACAACGTGATGGTCATTCAGAGCGCCCACTCCGTGCAGGGCGACCCGGCGTCCGCGGCGGTGGAGGTGTGGCACTTCTGGGATAACTCCGAGTTCACCGTGTATTACAAGCAGGGCCCCTTCTCCGTGGAGAATCTTGGCAATGGTGGGTACGAGAACTGGGCGTTCGGAGGCAACTGGCAGCGCTACGGCGCGGATGAGAAGGTCGTTGTGTTCTCCTGATTTAGTTGATAGAGTTAGAGGTCCAAGAGCCTGGTGTAAGATTAGACCTAGTGGATGTGTGAGGTGTTGAGCTGATGCTGCATCATGGTGTGCTTGTTGCTGATGAGTCAGGCTGTCTGGTGCTCATTTCACTGGTTTCCAGTGTGGTGTAGATGGTGCATGGGATTGGTGTTATGGTGTGAAGTACCAGTATTCATAAGATGGAGTACGAATGTCTACCGTACCTTGTCCTCCACAGCTTGACATGGTATCCCACCTATGGCTGATTTAACCTCGCCTCCAAGTCGGTTTTGTTCACATGTTGTACCATGAAAGCATACCATACTAGTTGCATGTACGCAGCAGCACACAAAAGCATGCCTCCGAGCCAGCCTGGCAGAAAGTCACTCACATTGAACCAACACGCCAAGAGGAGCATCCTCAACATCAAACAGCCGCATGCGATTCCAGTGCCTCCGCTTGCCAGGAAGTACCGTAACCCCACTGGGTTCTCTCACCTTTTTTGCAGGGATACATACTTTAGTTGTCTGCAAGGGGTGAGGTGAGTGGCTTGTGCAGTGAACACGCTTCATGATTGTACATGGCAGTACAGAGGTCATTCGAATCCAACGGGCACTCCTAGCTTCTCACTTGCAATCACAAGAGCTTTGTACCTCGATCCCATGCCCACAAATGACCTCTTGCCACTGCTACCACCACCACCACCTTCCTCAGAAGAATCACTCTCACCCTCACAAGCCCCAGCATCAGCCCCACGCACTCCCACCTCCCCCTCCCGCTCTGCCACCTTCCCCTCCACGCCCTCACTCTCATCGTCCTCATCGAGCCACGGGGGTTCCCCGTCCCCCACGAGGCGCCAGTACCCGTCCCTGAGAGCCTCCGCCTGCTGCTCCGAGGCCACTCGCAGCAGCGCCTCCACTCGGAAGTTGATGCCCAGCCGCCCCAATAATTGTGACTGGGTGATGGGGCCATAAGCCTTCGCTGGTACTGCGAGAGTTGGGGAGGGTGAGGGGGGGCGGGAGATGGGGGAGATTTGGCATAAGGAGGGGCAATGGAATTCTGCTAGCTGCTCTGACGCCACTCGCAGCAGCGCCTCCACGCGGAAGTTGATGCCCAGCCGCCCCAGCAGCTGCGACTGAGTGATCGGGCCATAAGCCTTCGCTGGCACTGTGAGGAATGAGAAGGGGTAGAGGACACGAATGGGGGAAGAAAGGGGGAGATCTAGATATTGAAATAGGAAAAGAGAGAGAGAGAGAAAAAAAAAAAGAGAAAAAACAGATCTCAGACGGGCCCAGCAGATGAGAGCGAGGTTCTCATTGCGAGAATCCCATTATGAAAGTTCCCATTGTAGCGACCCCATCATGAGGTCCCTATAGTTGAAAAGAGGTCCCCATATTTACCATGAGGTTCGCATAGAACTACCGGTAGTGGGAGCGGAGGGGCACTCACAGTTGGAGTCGGTGACGGCTTGGCGGAGGGCGGCAAAGTCCACATACGCACTCAGATCCGCCGTGCCGGGCGCATCCAGCACGTTCACAAACTCATGCTTGCGTATGGCCTGCAGGGGAAGGAGACGGTAGGAGAGAGAATGAAGGAGTTTTGAGTCGACTCTAAAGTCCACATACGCACTCAGATCCGCCGTGCCGGGCGCATCCAGCACATTCACAAACTCATGCTTGCGGATGGCCTGGCGGGTGCAAAATGGAGAGTGAGGAAGCGAAGCAGAGGAGGAGCGAGAGTGTTGGGCTGAGGGTGAGTGACAGAAGCAGAGGGTTGGTGAAGGTACAACAAACTCATGCTAACGAATGGCCTGAGGGAAGAGAAAGAGAGTGAGGGAAGAAGAGGAGAAATGAGAGAGACGAGGCGGTGATGTGAGGGGATTCAGAGCTCACCTGAAGGCTGTCTGATATCAATCTGTCCTCCCCGTAATCCACTATCAGCGCCGCCCCACCGTCTCGTAAGAAAGCTCAAGAAAGACTCTTGAGTCGACTCAAGAAAGAACTCACACGAGTAAAGCTCACCTGAAGGCTGTCTGATATCAGTCTGTCCTCCCCGTAGTCCACTATCAGCGCCGCCCCACCGTCTCTCGCCACCCTCTCCGTGATCTGCAGCGCAATCTTCACTGCTATAGGACAAACTTCCACGTGGACGGCTGCCGCCCGCTCCTCCAGTGGGGCCCATTGCATGCGAGGAAGAAGACAAAGAGTGCTTGCCGCAGTCGGCCCCGGGGAAAGGACGAAACGGAAAGGGTAGTCGGCAGATGGATGGGCGGTGGTGTCCCCTTGTGCATGGCTCGGTTTGGAGGGTGCTTCAGATGGATGGCCTTCTTTGTCCGGTTCCGCCACATCAACCAGTTTCTCACACCACCCTCTCTCCGTTTTCTGCCATGCCATGCAATGTCAAGCCAGGGTGATAATATGCAATGCCAATGTCAAGCCAATGCTGTAACATGCAATGTCATGCCATGCATGGAAATCCATGCCTGGTTGTGACAGCAAGGCACAGCACGGCATGAAAAAGGAAGAGGAACTGCAGCCTAATGCTGCCTGCTGCAGACCGCACAGGCTCACGCGTTTATCACTGAACAAGCATTCAGCAGCTGCAGGCGCATTTGGAACTGGTGGACTGGTATGTGCTAAATGAGTGCATGCTCTGTAGTGAACGCAGTGCAAAAAAAAAAAAAAAAAACGCAGTGCTGTGCGTTCACTGCAGAGCATGCTATGTCTCAAAACACGAAGTGCATGCTCTGTAGTGAACGCAGTGGGCGCTCACCTGGAACTGATGCATGGGTCGATTTTTGAGTCGACTCACTACACGCTCACCTGGAACTGATGCATGGGCAGCGCGTCAACGAACTCGTGTGCGATGATGATGGTGGGCACTGTGGGTTGGAAGAGAGAGGAGGGAGAGAGAAGGGGGAGGAGTAGAGAGGGGTGAAGCGAAGCAAATCAGGGCAAGCAACGGAGACGCAGAGAAAAACGGGATCATTCTTTCTTCTTTTTCTTGGAAACTTCTTGTGTTCAGGTGAGCATGTGAGACGATGTGTGTGAACATAAACAGATACACAATGAAGGCGGAAAGGGATGTGGGGGGCGGAAAGAATGTGTCGTGTGAAGTATGAAGTCGGTTGCAGAGCGCACATCTCACCTCCCTCAGGCACATCTCACCTCCCTCAGGCACATCTCACCTCCCTCAGGCACATCTCACCTCCCTCAGGCACATCTCACCTCCCTCACGCACATCTCACCTCCCTCACGCACATCTCACCTCCCTCAGGCACATCTCACCTCCCTCAGGTACGTCCTCCAGAGCAGAGTGCCACGTAACAGAGGCGCCACTCAGCCCCGACACTCCTCTCCCTGGGGATGCCTCCTCTGCTGCCGCTGCTTCTCCGGATGATGATGGTGGTGATGCTGATGCTGATGGTGATGGTGGTGATGGTGATGGTGATGGTGATGGTGATGGTGATGGTGATGGTGATGGTGATGGTGATGGTGATGGTGGTGATGGTGATGGTGAAAATGGTGGTTGTGATGGTGAAGATGATGAGGAGGAGGACGACGATGAGGAGGAGGGTGATTGTGGTTGCAATGGTGCTGCAGACGGTGACCCTTGGGAGATAAGCCCGCCTGCTTCTGCTACTGCTGCTGCTTCACCTGCTGACGCCAATCCACCAGCGCTTGCCTTCCTCCCCTCCGCCCCGCCATCATCCGCCCTCCCCTCTTTTGCCTCTGCAGCTTGGCATTTGAGGGCGGCCCACTGCAGGCGCCTGAGAGCCGGGCTCACCTCCACCAGATGCACCTCCACCGCTGCACTGAAGGGCGTGAACTTGGCGGATGACTGGAAAGGGGTGGGGGGAGAGGACGAGGAGAGGGGGAGTGCAGCAGGGGAAGTGGGGTGATGAGCTGGAGCAACGGGTTCACCTCCACCAGGTGCACCTCCACCAGGTGCACCTCCACCGCTGCACTGAAGGGCGTGAACTTGGCGGATGACTGGGGGACGGAGGATAGGGAGGGCGGAGGGGAGGAATAGGGGATGATGGAGGGCTGAATCGGAGCCCTAGACACACCTCCACCAGATGCACCTCCACCAGATGCACCTCCACCAGATGCACCTCCACCACCCCTCTAAAGGGGGCGTGTGAACAATTGGCGGACGACTGGGGGAGGGAAGGCAGTGAGGAGGCAGAGGTGAGCTAAGAAATGGTGCCCCCAACACCAGGTGCACCTACACCAGGTGCACCTACACCAGGTGCACCTACACCAGGTGCACCTACACCAGGTGCACCTACACCAGGTGCACCTACACCAGGTGCACCTACACCAGGTGCACCTACACCAGGTGCACCTACACCAGGTGCACCTACACCAGGTGCACCTACACCAGGTGCACCTACACCAGGTGCACCTACACCAGGTGCACCTACACCAGGTGCACTTACGCCAGGTGCACTCACACCAGGTGCACCTACAAACCTATACCACTGCAGCGAAGGCTGCAGCAGGAAATGGGGGGATTCGGTGCAAGGGCGCAGGTGAGGAGCGGCAGCAGGAGCAGCAGGAGCAGCAGGAGCGTGCATGGGGCGAGAGAAGGGAGAAGGGAGAAGGGAGAAGGGAGAAGGGAGAAGGGAGAAGGGAGACAACAGTGAAACCGTGAAACGGATCCAACAACTTGCTTCCTGTACCCTACCCTAACAACAAGCCCTTTTGAGAATTCTCCAGCACAACTTGCTTCCTGTGCACCTAACAACCATCCTTGCACTGACGATGCGCACAAGTCTCTCAACCGCCCTGCACCGCGTAACAACACTACTACCACCAACCAAGCTACCCTCAAACAGGACTCACGCGCAGCAGGTCGACCATGAGCGTCCCTCTGCCCGGCCCCAGCTCCACCAGTCTCACTCTAGGGGGGTCGACTCAGAACTCAACCGCACTGCACCACGTACCACCACTATCCCACGACTCACGCGCAGCAGGTCAGCCATGAGCGTCCCTCTGCCCGGCCCCAGCTCCACCAGGTGCACTCGAGGGGGCGCGCCCAGCTGCTGCCATGTCATCATCACCCACACCGCCACCATCTGATGGGGGTGATGCGAGGCATTGAATAGAGAGGGGCAGGGGGGGGGGGGGGGGGGGGGAAGAGGGGGGGCTTTTAAGTCAAAGCCCAGCTGCTGCCATGCCATCATGGCCCACACCGCCACCATCTGATGCCAGGCAGGGGGAGGGCAGGAAGAGATGCAGGGAGAGTGCAGGCATATTGGTCGTGACACAAGACAAGACAGGGAAGCGTGCACGCAGGGAGCAGTGGGCAATCTGCAAGCGCGTGTAGGTTCACGAGAATTGTGAGCAAGCAGGTGCAACCATGCACACATGTACTCATGCACCCATGCACTCTTGCACATATGCACCCATGCACCCCACCAAACCACATAACCTCCTCACTGCACTCACAACACCACCTCGCCTCAGCCCCCCTCCAAACCCCTCCACTCCACATGCGCACCTCGCCGAACATCTGGCTGATTTCAGGCGACGTGATGAAGTCGCCCTCCCGGCCGAACACGTCCCGCTGCATGTAGTACCCGCCCGCGCTGCTGCTCGTCAGCACCTGGAGTTGTGTTCGGGGGACCAGGAGGGGGAGTGAGGGCGGATGCACTCGTTTAAGGCGCCTCAAAAGTCGTTCCTGTGCATGTAGTACCCGCCTGCGCTGCTGCTCGTCAGCACCTGGGATTGTGAGGCGAGGAGGAGGGGGGAGGGGGGAGGAAGAGAAGGAGGGAGAGAGGGATGCACCCTTTTGAGGCGCCTTGAAAGTAGTCAGCACCTGCGCATGTATTACCCGCCTGCGCTGCTGCTCATCAGCACCTGTTGTGCGCGGGGGAGGAGAGAAGGGCGGGATGGAGGGCTTGACGCACAGTAGTGTGGTGCGGCCGGAGTGGAGTGGAGTGGAGTGGAGTGGAGTGGAGTGGAGTGGAGTGGCGTGGAGTGGAGTGTGCATCCATGCTCGGGTGGGAAATTGCAAGAGCGAGGATCATGGATGGATATTATGCAGAGAAGAAGACGCATGCAGTGATCAAGAGCCCAACTCACATCAGATCCCATCCCATAGCTCCCCAGCTTCGCGACAAGCAAAGCAACTCGCCTGTTCCATGTAGTCGGCCACGCTGATCGGCCCGCCGCGAAAGCGGATCATGGAGCGAATGTGCTCCACCATGGGCGATGCGCGCTCGCCGCTGGACAGCGGCAATCCCCCCTGCTGCGGCTGCTGAGGCTCCTCTTGAGGCGCCTGAAACGTGGCAGATGCGCGCACGTTGCTGGATTGGGGGAATACCCCCTGTTGCGCCGCGCCATGCTGCTGCTGCTGCCGCTCAGCGCTGGGATCCTCGTGCTCCTCCTCTACGCGTGAGGAAGCAGTGAGGGGAGTGTTATTACTCGCCTCGTTTTTGCCCGACTCGCTCGAGTAACGACGCGAGGCGAGAATTTCTCGTTGCGCGTGGTTTTCGCTATCGCCCGACTCGTGACTCGTCCAAAAAGGAGACAATCTATTCACTCGCCGCGAGTTAGAAAATAGTCGCGGCGAGGCTAGTACTCGCCTCGCCAGGAACATCGCTCCAGGAACACGAATCACTCTAGGCGAGTATTCAGCCGCGGCCCCCCTTGTGCGTACGCACGTGAGCGTCCATACGCTCAAAGCTCGACTGAGCCTTTCTCATAGTGTCAGGAGATAGGTGTTCTAGGGGGGAATGATAAATGATAAATCCGCAACGTGATCGCAAATCAGTATTGCGGCGGAGTGGGTATTGAAATTGGAGGGGTTGGGTTAGGTGGAAAGAGTGGGTTTCAGTGCGGTTAGGGGGAGTAGAAGAGCTAGGAGAAGTTTGTGGTTCAAAATTCTCATGCTCGACTGGTGTCAAAACTAGCACTTCACCACACACCAGAGCCCACAACCGACGCATTCTCCTTCGACTTTTCTCACACCCTGGTTTACGGGTGTATTGAGTGCTGAGCGTAGGGGCTCTCAGTGCTTTGAGAGAACCGCACTCCCGTTGCAACGTGATTCAGTGCGCTGATGCGAAACGCACTGCTCGTTCTACTTCATTTACACCCAGCAAGCACGCTGGTGCTCAACGAAGCCGCCGTGCGGGCGAGCAGCAGCAGCAGCGCGGCGCGATGAAGTTCGACGTGAACGCGCTGCGGTACCTGTCCAAGGACGAGTTCCGCGTGCTCACCGCCGTCGAAATGGGCATGCGCAACGTACGTCCGCCCGTCCTGACGAATCTCTTTAAACTCGTCAAAACAGACACAGCATTGCTTTGACAGACGGTCACCACAGGGAATTGAGTCAGGCTCGTGGAAACCAGTTCCATTAGGTCTGCGGATTTCGCGTAATCAAGAAGCACGCGGAGCCTAAAACTTGACGGTTTTTGTGTGCAACAGGCGCCATTTCTAACCAAAAACCCCCTTGCGCCCTCACCCTGCCCCACCTCGCCAGCCTCACTCCGTGGTAGACGGCAGGACAGACGACAGCATATAGACGGCAGGATAGACGGCCGGCTTGAGCACTGCCGTCGCTTAAGACTTTATATCAGGCCGCGCGCTTAGCGAAGCGTCCAAAACCAGATCCTCCCGTCCTCCGTCACCCCCCGCACCCACTTTCCCCTCTTTTCCCCCTTCCCCCCTTCCCACATCCCGTGCCTTGGCGTTGGCGTGCACACGTGGCAGCACGAGATCGTCCCGTCGGAGCTCGTCGAGCGAATCGCCAGCCTCAAGTGAGCCGCCTCCCGTCACCGCCCCTTAAACCTCTCAACCACTATGCACCCCGGAATGCGCTCGCGATCTTAGCTCCTAACGAATTATAAAACCCTGAACCGCTCTTGAACCCAGCCCCCCTGCCACTTCCACTCTATCGCGTTCCGCGCTCGAACCTTGTTTGCCGAACTTCTTTCAAACTCGTTCAAGTCCCCCCCTCCCCATTCGCCATGCCCACTCCTCTAATCCGAAACCTTGCCAAAACCCCCGTGCCCCCTCACCTTCCTCGCCTCGCTGACCATGCTGCCCCATGCGCCATCCTCGCTACTCCTCCTCTTCCCTCCCCTTTTTTTTCCCTTTCTCCGGCGCGTCTGCCAGGCGGGGCGGGGCGTACAAGGCGCTGAGCACGCTGCTGAGGCACAAGCTCGTGCACCATGACTCCACCAAGTGTATGTCCCACCCACCTGCCCTCTCCTCCCTCCCCCTCCTCTTCTATTGGAGCCCACTCTTTAGTATTCTCAAAGCTGCTGAGGCACAAGCTCGTGCACCATGACTCCACCAAGTGTATGTCCCACCCACCTGCCCTCTCCTCCCTCCCCCTCCTCTTCTATTGGAGCCCACTCTTTAGTATTCTCAAAGCTGCTGAGGCACAAGCTCGTGCACCACGACTCCACCAAGTGTAACCCCGCGCGCCCTGCTTGCTCTCTCCTCCTCGACCACTCGCTCCTTCATCTCCCTCCTCACAAGCTTGAAGCACAAGCTTGTGCACCTGCCCGCCCACCCGCCCGCCCGACTGCCTGCCTGCCTGCCTGCCCTCCTCGCTCTTCTCTCCGCCCTGTCATCCTTCCTTTTCCATCACCCATTCCAACAAGTCCTTTTGCTCCCGCTGAACTCATTTCATCCACTCGTACCGCCTCACAAACCTGGGGTACAATTTTTATGTTGACCCACTAGTAGTCACCAACTCCACTCTTATTTCCTCTCTTTTCAACCCCCTCAACCTCCTCCACCCCTCCTCTCCTCCCCCTCCCCCCCACCAGACGACGGGTACCGGCTGACGAATCTGGGGTACGACTTTCTGGCCATCAAGGCGCTCGTCAACCCTATGACCCTCACTTACCCCGCCAAATCTCTCCCCCCTCCTCCTGCCCCATCCACGTGCCAGGCGACGGCTACCGCCTGACAAACTTGGGGTACGACTTTCTGGCCATCAAGGCGCTGATCAACCGAATGAACCTCACTTGTCTACCTCACCACTCCCTCCCCCCACCGACTCCCATCCCCCCGTTCTCCGCCAGACGACGGGTACCGGCTGACGAATCTGGGGTACGACTTTTTGGCCATCAAGGCGCTCGTCAACCGCGGCACCGTTGCTGGCGTGGGGCCGCAGATCGGCGTCGGCAAGGAGTCTGGTAAGTGGGGGTGGTGAGCGGTGGGGAGGCGAATTGAGTATTGTGACGTCTCAAACCCCTCCCTCCCTCCCTTCCTTCCTCCCTCCCTCCCTCCCTCCCTCCCTTCCTTCCTCCCTCCCTCCCTCCCTCCCTCCCTCCCTCCCTCCCTCCCTCCCTCCCTCCCTCCCTCCCTCCCTCCCTCCCTCCCTCCCTCCGTTTTCTCCTTCCCTCCCTCCCTCCCTCCCTCCCTCCCTCCCTCCCTCCCTCCGTTTTCTCCTTCCCTCCCTCCCTCCCTCCCTCCCTCCCTCCCTCCCTCCCTCCCTCCCTCCCTCCCTCCCTCCCTCCCTCCCTCCCTCCCTCCCTCCCTCCCTCCCTCCCTCCCCATTACCCCTCCTCTTATCAGGGCAGACATCGGGGTAATTTACCAGTCATTTCAAAACTTCCCCTTGCGTCTCTCCGCTCCCCACTCCTCTTCCCTCCCCTACCCTCCCGTCCCCTCCTCTCCCCCCTTCCCTGCGGGGCAGACATATACGAGGTGGAAGGACCGGAGGGCGAGGTGACTTCTTAGTCAACTCATACCTTCCCCCCTTGCTCTCCCCTCCCCCACTCCCATCACCTCCCCTCCTCCCCCCAGACATATACGAGGTGGAGGGGCCGGAGGGCGAGGTGATGGTGATGAAGCTGCACCGCTTGGGCCGCACGTCGTTCCGCAATGTGAAGGCCAAGCGCGACTACCTGCGCCACCGCCGCGCCCACAACTGGCTCTACCTCTCACGCCTCGCCGCCCTCAAGGAGTTTGCTTTCCTCAAGGTGCTCCCTCGCTGCGCTCAAAGTGCTCTCGCTCTCGCTGCTCTAGGTGCTTCACTCACCCTCGCCCCAGCTGCTTCACAACTGACTCTATCTCTCTCGCCTCGCTGCTCTCAAGGAGTTTGCCTTCCTCAAGGTGTGCTTTGCCGCCTCTCTGCTTCACCCTCGCCCTACGTGCGGGCATGTGGCTGTGAGAGTGCATGCAGTGATGTGCCGTTGACCATGTTTTGTAGTGCTGTAACATTCACTCAACCCACCTCCACGGTCCACCCACTCTGCGTGCCCTGTGATGTGTGCTCTGCCCTGCTGCTCGTGTGCTGTGCTGTGCTGTGCGAGCAGGCGTTGGGGGAGAGGGGCTTTCCGGTGCCGGGTGCAGTGGACTGCAACCGCCACTGCGTCATCATGACCCTCGTCAAGGCCTTTCCACTGTAATCATTGCCCTCTCTTCACTGCCATACCATCATCATTGCAATCATCAGCACCACACAGCATCCTGCGCACTTTTGTGTAGCCTGCCTTTCGTGCATGCACAATCTACCTCTTGCTTCCTATCCTCCCATGCTCTCCCTCACCCCAGTGTCTCCCTCTACTTGCCTCCTTTCAGCCACCCTCCACTCACCCCCTCCTCTCCGCTCTCCCCACTCCTCACTTCAGCTCCCCTCCTCCGTTTACCCCGTCTGCTCACCCTGCTCCACTCTCCACTCCAACCCCCTTCTCCTCCTCTCCCCTTCCCACCACAGTGTGGAGGTGCTCTGTGTGGAACTACAGCGGCCGCAGGCTGGTGTCTAACCAGGTGCTCTGCTCTCCCTCATCAACCCTTAAACCTCCTCCTGCTCACACCCCACCCAACCCCCTCACCCCCTCACCAGTGTGCAGGTGCAGGAACTGCAGCGGCCGCAGGCTGGTGTCTGATCAGGAGCTCTCCCTCATCGTTTGCCCCCACCTTCTGATCACACCCCGCCCTACTCTCTCCTCTCCTCCACCACCAACCCACAGAGTGCAGGTGCGGGAACTGCAGCGACCGCAGATAGTGTTTGACCAGGTGCTCTCGCTCATCATTCGCCTGGCGGCAGTGGGGCTCATCCACTGTGACTTTAACGAGTTCAACCTGCTTGTGAGTGAGTGTAAGGATCAGCTTTTGTTTGAGTTTTTTTAACAAGTTCAACTTTGAGCCAGAGAGTTGAGTAGCGGATTGCAACTGATAGCAACGAGTGTAATTGTTGGTTCATTTGAATATACAGGTTCACCTTTAAATTAGAACCCATTTTTCTTTCCTGTTGCAATGTGTGCGCCCATCCATCTCTGTTGCTGTCCACGGCATGGCATGGCATCAGGTGGATGAGGAGGAGAGGATAACGATGATTGACTTCCCTCAAATGGTCTCCATCTCCCACCGCAATGCCAAGATGTAATGCGCTCACCCTCCCATCCCCATACACACGCGGTCATGCACTCACCCCCTCATCGCATATCAGTTTCCGGCTGACTGTCTGAATCACGTCTTTGCCTGCTGCATTTGTTTCTACTACGTTCCTTCATTCATTTCCCCCTACTTTTTTCTTTTTTTTTCTTTTTTTTTTCACTACGTTCGTCTGTATGCAACATTACATCACTAATCATGCCACCTTGTCCCTGCGCCCCATCACACGCACACCAGGTACTTTGATCGCGACGTGGAGTGCATCTTCAAGTTTTTCGGCCGCCGGTAAGCAACCCACGCACTCCAATCACTTACACACCCATCTGTCTGAATCCAGTTTTCTTGAGTTCCAATCAATAGACGCACACCAGCTACTTCGACCGTGACGTGGAGTGCATCTTCAAGTTCATTGGCCGCCGATACGCCACCCATGCACTCCAACCAATCAGCCCCCGTCTGTCAAGAGCCTCTCTGTCTTGAGTTACATTCACACTCTCACTACATACATTGAATGATCGTGACGTGGAGTGCATCTTCAAGTTCATTGGCCGCCGATACGCCACCCATGCACTCCAACCAATCAGCCCCCCGTCTGTCAAGAGCCTCTCTGTCTTGAGTTACATTCACACTCTCACTACATACTTTGAATGATCGTGACGTGGAGTGCATCTTCAAGTTCATTGGCCGCCGGTATGCCAGCCCTTTTGTTACAGGAGTCTTTTCTTTTCTTCTCTTTTCTTTTCTTCTCTTTTCTTCTCTTCTCTTTTCTTTTCTTTTCTTTTCTTCTCTTTTTCTTCAGTCTTCTCTTTTCTTTGACATCGCCTGCTTTGGTCGAGTAGGCCAGCCACGCATTTTCAAACATATAGCCCCATCTGTCTAAACTCCATTCTAAACATTCTCACTCGCTCTCTCACATTTAATCCCTTCTCATGTACCCCGCCACCTCCCATTCCTTCCCCACACACCACTCCACACTCAACCCTCACACTGCTCCCCTCCCTCAATCCACTTTTCCCCCCAACCACCTCTCCTCATATCTGCCTCCACCCCCCCTTCGCAGATTCAACTTTGCCCCTAAGAGACCTCGAGACCCAGCCTTGGAAAGCGCCTTAGCGCTATCAGGTGCCCTTTCTCCCCTCTTTCCCGCCCCGCGCTTGCTCCGTCTGCCCTACCCCAACAATGCCCCACGCTTTCTCCTATGCGCTTTCCCCCTCTGTGCTTCCCCTCTCTGCCCTGTCCTTCCAGTCTGATCCCATACTCTCACCACCCTCGTCAACCCCTCTCCTCTCCTCTCACCACTCATGTTCCCTCACCAGGGGGAGAGAGAAACAACAAGGACGAGGAGAGAGAAAATGGTACAAGGGAGGATGAAGATGGGGACGAGGCAGAGGAAAGGGGGGAGAAAGTGGAGCACGAGGAGGAAGAGGGAGAGGAGGTGGAGGAGGAGGAGGACGAGGAGGGGACATGGAGGCCTTCGTTTTCAGCCATTAAAGCACTGGTGGAGCGAGCGAGAGAGAGAGCAGAAGATGGGGCAGACGAGGCGGGTGACAGGGAGGAGGAGGAGGGGCGTGTGAAAGAGGAGGGTGATGATGAGGAGGAAGGTAGTGGTGGGAAGGTTGGGAGCAGTGTGACTGCTGGGCTGGCCGAAGCGAGGCAACGGGAAGAAACGGCAGTGGATGTGAAGGGAGATGAAAATAGGGAGGTGGATGAGGGAGGAGAAGCAGCAGGAGGAAGGGAAAGTTCCGCAGAAGGTGAATGGGAGGCGTGCAGAGCTGTGATTCAGGCGCTCATGCTCGCTGCTGGACCTGCTGCTGCTGGTGATGGTGGTGATGGTAATGCAGAGACCACGAGCAGGAAGGAAGAAGTTGCAGGGAGGAAGGCGGAGAGGAGAGGCGGTGGGAGGAGGGGAGGGCGGAGAGAGGTGGTGGGGACAGTGGCAGGGACGGGCCCTCTGGACAGACAGCTGGCAGCCAGTGGGTTCAGCATGCAGAACGAGGCTGAGCTGGAGCAGGTGAGCGCTGGCGTGGAGCAGGTGTGTGCTGAGGTGGAATGCATGAATGCTGAGGTGGAATGGTCGAGTGCTGAGTGGGAACAGGTTGGTGGGAAGGTAGGTGGTGGGCGCACATGGACCCATGCGAGGGTGTGTGTGTCTGTCGCTTGGACCCATGCGAGGGTGTGTGTGTCTGTCGCTTGGACCCATGCGAGGGTGTGTGTGTCTGTCGCTTGGACCCATGCGAGGGTGTGTGTGTCTGTCGCTTGGACCCATGCGAGGGTGTGTGTGTCTGTCGCTTGCATCTCTCTGTCTCTTTGCTCAGCCCTCAACCCTCCCCTCTTCCTCCACCCGTCCCCCTTTCCTCTCTCGTGTGTGCTGCCGTCAGTACATAGAAGAGTCGCAGTGGAGAGAGACAAGTCACCTGGAAGGCACAGAGGATGGTGCAGGGGAGGAGGGAGACGAGGAGGAAGAGGAGGAGGAGGATGAGGAGGAGGACGAGGAGGAGGATGAGGATGAGGAGGAGGGGGAGGGAGAGGAGGATATCGATGGAGACGAAAGCAAGGAGGGTGAGTCTGCTGGTGAGGGGGCAGAGGAGGAGGATGATAGTGATGGTGGGAACGACAGCAATGATGAGAATGAACTTTACGAGGGGGATGGGGACGAGGGCACGGGGAAATCCCCACATGCAGCCACGCATGGCAGTACGGTTGGGAACGGGGTGAGCAGGAGGGTGAGTGGGCGTGCAGGGCAGAAGCAGCAGCGGCAGCTGGAGAGGCAGCGGCAGCAGGCCGCGCAGGCGGTGCGAGGGGGAGGGGTGAGGCGCGCGTCACGCAACGCCAGCAAGGACAAGGGAGGGCGGAGATCGCGCCACGTGTCCAGCCGAGCAGGGATCGACTGAGAGGAGGATCCGTAATACCGGTACAGTGGATCGAGGCGTGTCTGGCAGTGGATGCTTGACTGCGTGGCATGTTACTGCGCGCTGCATGGAGTGTTGAAGATGCCGCTTTGCCTGTGTGCACCACGGGAATGTAACTGACTTGGGAGGCGTGCTCCAATGTGCCCTAAGTGGAAAACAGTGTCAAGTAGTGTACAACACCCGCCACCCTGTTCAGTGCCTGGATGGTGGTACCGTAATACGTGTAGCAGTGATAAATATACCGGCAGAAACATCCTCTTTATACAACAATCCGAACAAGAACACCTTGAGGATTCACCATCCACACCACACTGGAAACCTGTGAAATGCATGACAGCCTGAACAGTTACCGTATCAGCAACAAGCACACCATGAAGCAGCATCAGCTCAACACCTCACATCCACTAGGTCTGATCTAACCCCCATGCTCTAAAAGCACCAACTCTATCCCTCAAGAGAACACAACGACCTTCTCATCCGCACCGTAGCGCTGCCAGTTGCCTCCGAACGCCCAGTTCTCGTACCCGCCATTGCCAAGATTCTCCACGGAGAAGGGGCCCTGCTTGTAATACACGGTGAACTCGGAGTTATCCCAGAAGTGCCACACCTCCACCTGCGCGGAAGCCGGGTCGCCCTGCACGGAGTGGGCGCTCTGAATGACCATCACGTTGTACCCCGCGTTCATGAATATCTCCACGATCTTCGTCGTCACCTCGTCGTCATCTGGACCGTCGATCGTGCCCAGGCTGCCGGCAATGATCTGATCGACGGTCACGCCGTCCCAGCTAAAGAGCTTCCGCTCCACCCTGTGCGGGGATAGCGCGGAATCCGCGCTGGTGTCGGAGGGGGACGGGTGCAGGATAGGTCGCGCGGCGCTGGCGTTGGTGACGGCTAAGAGGAGCAGGACGGAGAGAGTGAGAGGAAGCAGCTTGCGAGCCGAGTGAAGCCAGGAGTTGGCCATTGGGAAATCGGTTGGATGATCGTATCTCAGATGTACAAATTGCCAGAGACCAACAATAAGCGGTGAAAAGCTAACCTTGCACGTTAATGGGAGTGAGAATCACACGGGAGAATTCAAATCCGTGAGCCGCGAGCTGCTTGGTATGCGAGATCGAAGGCAGGAAAGAGAAAAAGGAGGCAGAAGCTGTGATGATTGAGGTGAGTCGCAGCGTCTAATATATAGCCGTTGGCATAGTTCAGAACTGGGGCTGGACTCCGACGCGAAGGCGGACTGAGCCTCGCTTGAGCCGCCATTGCCAATGATTAGCGTACGGACTACGCTCGGACGTGATTGGCACGTGAGAAATGGAGTTCCTCGGGTCCGGCTAGGCGGTTGGTAGCGGAAGTAGGGAATAGCTTATGCTGGAAGTGGCTGGCGGTAATGCAGTGGGGGTTGTGAGCTGAGGCGTGTCGAGGGGTGGAAGGGAAGGGTGGAAGTGGGTGAGGGTGGGATTGGCTGGGTAATCTTGGGCAGGCAGGGAGGTAGTGTAGGTTGCTTCGCTGCAGGAGAGAATCGGCCCACCCGTTGGCGAGAGATTGATGGCATTGAGCACGCGTCGCCTGAAGCGATTTAGGGTAGAGTATGCGACGAGACTTCAAGCTACACCGCTTCATTGACATTTTCACCAGAAGTAAAGAGCTCAAAATAAACAGATTATATCCAGCCATTTCAGCATCTACAGATGTGCATGCACATTAACTACTAGCAAATACTAAACGCTTTGGAGACCTAAATTACTTTCTCTCAGAATGAGACTAAAGCAGGCTTTCGAAGTGGATTGGGTTAAAGATGTCAGCAACCTGCCGTGATTCGTTCGTGCTAGAGCTCGTACTCTACTCGCACACACACAAACGCATGAATTCTCGTGTTGGCATCTTCGTTGGTGGCGGTGGTGACCTGGGCTTCTCTACCGTTCCTCACCACCACCCCTACGTACATACACGACAACCCTGCAATGCAACGATAACCCGCCCTTGTTGAGTGTACCCATAACGGTAGTGGTGCAGCTCGTACACATTACATTTGCAGGCTCAAATGGCTACGTGTCGGCCTCTCACTAAGGAATTCCAGTCTTTAAAGCTGCCTATGGTTGTAGCAAACAGTTTTATGGCGTGTTCCTCTTGTGACCATACATACTGTTGGCTTGCTTTGCATGTACAGTATGTATGTACCTTACCCTATGCACATGTACCCAATGAAGCACAATCAGAGCAGTAGTTTCAGCTTTAGTCCTGTGTTCCGAAGTTGCTGGTAAAAATTCACAGAGGATCAGTGAATTCTGCAGATGGGCATCGTCTCAGGCTCTCAAAAAAGTGATTACAATATTGCAAATCCCACAACAGGCAGTAACATCAACATCAACACCATGGTGCTGTTATAATAAGATGACCTCATCATATCAACGAACTCCAAGGCTCTCTGGAACAACTCTAAATCAGGAGAACACAACGACCTTCTCATCCGCGCCGTAGCGCTGCCAGTTGCCTCCGAACGCCCAGTTCTCGTACCCACCATTGCCAAGATTCTCCACGGAGAAGGGGCCCTGCTTGTAATACACGGTGAACTCGGAGTTATCCCAGAAGTGCCACACCTCCACCGCCGCGGACGCCGGGTCGCCCTGCACGGAGTGGGCGCTCTGAATGACCATCACGTTGTACCCCGCGTTCATGAATAGATCCACGATCTTCGTCGTCACCTCGTCGTCATCTGGACCGTCGATCGTGCCCAGGCTGCCGGCAATGATCTGATCCACGGTCACGCCGTCCCAGCTGAAGAGCTTTCGGCGCTCCACCCTGTGCGGGGACACGGCGGAGTCCGCGTGGGCGAGAGCACGGCGGGCGACGCCGCGCGTGGCGGAGGGGGATGGGTGAAGGACGGGCCGCGCGGCGCTGGCGCTGGTGGCGGCGAGGAGCAGCAGGAAGGCGAGAGAAAGAAGAAGCAGCTTGCGGCTTGCGTGGAGTCGCGCGTTGCTACTAGTAGTAGCAGCCATAGATGCTCAGAGCTCAGTGAAAAGCTTGTAAAAAAAGTAGCAGCAAAAAAAAGGTGAGCTTGCACGCGAATGCGATGGTTTCAGGAGCGAAGCACAGTCGACTTCAATACGAAAAGGAAGGAGAATGGAGGGAGCAAATCTGGGAGCTGTGATAACTGTGTGGAGTCTGAGCGTCTACTTTATAGGCCTCTGCACTCTCTGAGTCCGAGACATGCAAGATCAACCTTCCAGTCGCACTCAGACACGAGCGCGGCTTGCGACTCGCTCGAGCCGTCATGGCCATCCCCGCAAGCGAACTCCGTTGCGACGCACGTGAAAGGACTCTGACGTGTGAACTACGCTCGGGCGTGACTGATACGCGACGATTTTTTGGGGTTTCTTCAGTGCGACAGTCTGAGGTAGGGGCAATAACTAGGGAAGGGATAGCTAATGGGAACGGCAGAAGTGCGATAGGTGTGGTCTGAGCAGGCGAGGTGTGAGCAGGCGAGGTGAACCGTGTCGTGGGGTGGAAGAGTGGGTTGGTACTGGTGGGGTGGGGCTGGGAAGGTCGCTTTCCCACACATCCGAAACCTTGCCCAAATGTTGCACATTCTGCTGAAGTGAGAGTCTAATCATAGTTCCTTACAAGTTGGGTGAACACTTGTGTACGCGGTATGGAGCTCACGTGTGAAGAAGAATCAGTTTGCGAGTTTGCTGGGCTTCTCGCACATTACCGCTTTGGAACGCAACAGACCGTAAGAACCTCTGCTTGTAAAGCATCGTCATCAACAATTATTGGTCGGAGAACACGTTGATTCTCCTTCCCAACATACCACCATTCACCACATCGTACCACTCAAAACCACTCCTCACCATTCCGTACCCACCATCCACCACCATTCGCCTTACCACCACCACCCCCTTGCAACCAACATTGCCTCGGCTTTGTGTTTCTCGCTTTCGAGCTCCCTCCCCCTTGTCGTACTCGTCTGCATTCCAGAGCCCATTATCGCGGCATTCCGTACCTGCACATCCTGCTCTCTGCACGACCGACCAAGAATGAATGCTCGCGACGAGGGACGCAAGGTCCTCTGTCGGTCCGTCTGCTCAATGGACGGCGACATACTTGACGGTGACTGGCTTCATGGCGACACGTATGACGGAACCCGTCTCCATAACCGGCAGCTAGGCCGTTCCGCACCTATGCATCGCGTTTAGCAGCCGTCAATTCGCCGCTGAAGAGTCAGAATTTGTGCGGAGAGTGACTGATCCGACGGTCCAGATTGGACCGAATGAGCCGCCCGACGACAGCATCTGACTCGATTGGGCATCGATCATCGATCGAGTCTCGAATTTCGACGCGAGAGCGCAATCGAAATCTCGACTTCCGATGGGTACGACAATAGAGGTGCCGTGGTCTGTTGCTGTACCATCGCTCATTGCGTCAACCTGTGTGGTGGGGCTGGCCGACGACTCTTACTGCCCCTACCTGTCGCGTAGGCACCGGGACCTACAGTATTAGTGTACAGAAGCACAGCACTGTAGACATGCGACGACAAGCCATGGTCGGTACTATGCCGGGGAAGCGTTCCTTCCCTCGCTGGCCACAGCCGCTCGGAAACCCCCGTCGTTTAGCTTCCCGTGACGCGGTGCAACGTGGCTCTGCGTGCGGCGTTCGTGCGCCGCCGGGCTGTATGTGGCGATGCGTCGTTGCGCGTTCGCTCCCTCTTCGCGCTTTCAGTCGGCCCTGGCGTTCAAATCCAACCGTCCTTTGCGGTCGCTTTGCTTCCGATGGCTAAGATTCGTGGAAGCTTCGAGGAACGGGTCCACAAGTGCCAAGTAGACGGCCTGAGGTATAAAATTGACCAGATCTGCTTTCAGTCGATCAATCATCGAGCACAGTTCTTCTTAAGTTGATTTCGAAGTCATTCATTCACCTTTCAAGGCAGACAGCATCGCTAGTGCCACCACCAGTCCCCTTAGTTCCTATTTCCTGCAAGCCAACGGTTTGTTCCGGTTCCCCGCTGAGCAGACTCTTCCTCTGCATACCCCGAAAAGCGTTACAAATCTCTCACTCACGAACGTCAACACATCAGGAAACGGTTTGCTCGCCATGGCTGCAACTTCTCGAGCCGCCTCCCTCCTCCTCCCGCTGCTCCTCCTCCTCCTCGCGGCGTCCGCGTCTGCTGCTGCGCGCCGCCCGCCTCCAACCAAGGCGCAGATCAAGGCGGAGGTGTCGCGGATGGCAAAGCGGCTGCTGCAGCGCTACCCGCAGTACTCCAAGTTCTCCAAGGACTTCAACAAATACGTCAACCTCGCGAGTGAGTTCTATCTTGAGTCGATTCAAGAGTGAGTTCTATCTTGCGAGTAAGCTCTCCTCTGCTGCTGCGCTACCCGCAGTACTCCAAGTTCTCCAAGGACTTCAACAAATACGTCAACCTCGCCAGTCAGTTCTGCTCCCTGCCTCTTCCTCCCTGCTCCCTCCTCCCTGCCTCCTCCTCCCGGCCTCTTCCTCCCTCGCTCATCCTCCCTGCATTATTCTCCCTGTCTCATTCTCCCTGTACCATTGCTTCCTATCGTTTCAGTGCTTTCATCCTGCACTTGTCCCTATGGTTTGTCTTCCTGCTTTCCCTCCGTTTCTTCCCCTTTCGTCTGCCCTCCAGTCACTGAAACCTACTCCCTCATTCCTTTCTGTCCAATCTCATTTTTTATCCCAACCCCTCCCGTTTCCCCTGTCCTTTCCAGTGAACTCCAAGTACAACTTTTCAGCACTCGCTGACGCCACCCTCCTCATTCCCAGCAACACAGCAGCAGAGGCGCTTTCCAAGAGGCTTCCTCTCACAACCAAGAACATTCCCAGGGCCTACAACGTCACAGCCTATCACATCGTCGCGAAACGTTTCATCCTGCCCAAGATCAAGGCCATGCGGGCAGGCCAGGCGCTGCCAACTCAGCTGCGGCAGGCTCTCTACAAGCTGACGGGCAGGAACGGCAATGTGGTGATGTTTGGGACGTACCCTAGCACTAGAGCCAGGGGGATTGTGACGACCAGGGTGGTGATTCCTGGCATGTACGTTGGGCCATACTTCATTGCCCATGGCGTTGACCGTGTGCTGCTGCCTCGAGGCACCCGCGTGTGAATGGGGACCGCTGACTTTTGAGTCGACTCGAGTCACCTTGATTCCCGGCATGTACGTTGGGCCGTACTTCATTGCCCATGGTGTGGTGTGGACTGTATGTTGCTGCCTCGAGGCACCCGCATGGGAAATACGACCATTGTGCTGCTGGCTGTCGGAGGGGGAGCTGGTGTGGTGGTGGTGTGAGGGGAAGTTGAAGCCAGAGCAGGTTTGTAGCTGGCGAAATTGCTTGCGGGATGGCAGCTTGAGTAGGATTCGCTGTACAGTCATTGTTCATTATAATAATGCATTTGGGGGTACAGTAACATTGGGTTCAACAGTGAGAGTGACCAGTACGGTAGTGTGAGAACAAAAATCCTTCAAATTGTCCACATTCGCAGCTAGACCTCATAACTAATAGACTGATCAACTGGAAGTATAGTGGAGGAAAGGCAAATACTAAGGGTACGTTCCTGTGGAGACACTTGTGTCTCAACCCCCGTTTTCCCGGATAGCGCCTGTAAATTTGCAAAATGTTGTGTCTCAAACAACCAATGAACCTCGACTCTGAGCGACAGATGGGACCGGCCAGGTGGGCGCTTTCTATTGGTGGCGACCACTTGGATTGACCCCGCTGCTGTTTTCCCGCCGGGCTGTTGAGATAAGAACTTGGGAGATTAGGAGCTTGGAGGGAGAGTAGCATAGTGAGATGGTTATCGAGGGAGTTTAGGTTGGCCAAAAGAGGAGTTTCACTATGGAATGAATACAAGATATAGGAATGGGCAAAAGGGAGGGTACACCACCAGCAGTTGATGCTAATACCTAGTCTAGTACACTAGCTAGCTGTAGGCAGTTATAAGATATGCAATATAATTCAACACACCCCCGTAACTGCCTACGGCTATAGCTAGTGGTGCCTGGCACCAGGTCGCCTGGAGAGCGGTTGCTGTAGCTGGGATAGGCACAGAAACAGCGGTGGCTGACCGGCAGCACCTGTGAACGCCAGGACGGAGGAGGGCGCGGAGAGCGCGGAGGAGGGCTGGGATAGCCGGAGGGCGAAGGATGCTGGTCGCTCGCCATCTACGAGCAAACACAACTGTTGGTGAGGAGGAGGAAGCTGCTGGTGGTGCACAGGAGGAGAGCAAAGGAGAGGCGGCTGGAGGAGAGGAGATAGGAGGAGGAGATGCGGCTGGAGGAGAAGAGAGGAGGAGGAGATGCGGCTGGAGGAGAGGAGAGGAGGAGGAGATGCGGCTGGAGGAGAGGAGATAGGAGGAGGAGATGCGGCTGGAGGAGAGGAGAGGAGGAGGAGATGCGGCTGGAGGAGAGGAGAGGAGGAGGAGATGCGGCTGGAGGAGAGGAGAGGAGGAGGAGGAGAGGAAGTGCAGCGGAAGGAGGAGGAGAAGGGGGAGGCGGCTGCCTGCACATACCCGCCACCCCCACACCCTCTTCCCCCCCCCCCCAAACGCGGCACGAACTGCAGATGCACGGGCAGCGATGAGGAGGAGGATTAGGGAGGGGCAGGAGGGTTCAAGGGGGCTTAAGCACCCCCGTAGCCGCGGGCGCGAGCCTCGCCACCTCCCCCCCGCAACGTCCACCGTAGAAGAGAGCGACGGCAGGTGCGGAGGCGGGGAGCGGGGTGGCGATGGCAGGGGCGCTGGCGGCCGCTGCTGGCGCTGGCGCTCGCGACCGGCGCTGGCGCATGCCGCTGGCGCTGGCGCTGACGCTGGCGCTGGCGCTGGGGACCGGCGCTGGCGCTGGCGCTCGCGACAGTCGCTGGCGCTGGCGCACGTCGCTGGCGCTCGCGCTGGCGTCAGCGACGGTCAGAGGCGCTGGTGCTGGCGTCCGCGACCAGCGACGGGGCGACGCGACAGCGCGCGGGACGGGGCGACCAGCGCGTGGGGCGGGTAGCACGGGGCGTTCAGCGCGGGGCAGGCAACGGGCGAGCGCCTCGAAGGGCGCAGCAACGGTCGCCATGGCAACGATGGCAGCCATGGCGAATGAAAAATAACAAGGTCCTTAGAAGGACCCAGCTCTTAATACCATGTTGAGATAAGAACTTGGGAGATTAGGAGCTTGGAGGGAGAGTAGCATAGTGAGATGGTTATCGAGGGAGTTTAGGTTGGCCAAAAGAGGAGTTTCACTATGGAATGAATACAAGATATAGGAATGGGCAAAAGGGAGGGTACACCACCAGCAGTTGATGCTAATACCTAATCTAGTACACTAGCTAGCTGTAGGCAGTTATAAGATATGCAATATAATTCAACACGGGCATCCCAGTCCAAAAAAGCGCAACCCGCAATGAATGTCGCGGCGGCGTCTAGACACGGTGGATGGTGTTGCAAATGGGTCGAGTCGGGCATCACGGAAACACTACACACACACAGGCTTGTGTTCAACTACAGCAGCAAACACTGGCACAAGTACAAAACCACCACCCCACTAGTCATAATGTGCCTCCCAGTCTAGCATCCATGGCACAGCCTCGCGACGTGCCCTTCCTCATGCGGCTGCTCGTCGCATGGGTCACGTTCTACTACAGCATCTTCATGGACGCCGTCTCCAGATCTGTCGGCGGCTTGCTGGAGGCGAACGTGTTCACCGAGGAAGTGTCCTCGGCTTCTAGCTCGCGTGGCTCCAACCTCACCGCCGAGCGGAAAAGGAGGTCAGGGCTTCGCCGGCGCAGGTACCAGCTGCTGCTAGAGGACCTGGAAGGCATGGGGGAGGAAGAATTCAGGGATTTGTTTCGCATCAACCGCGCAATTCTTGACTACATTGTCAACGGGATGGCGCACTACATGCAGCCCTACGTTGACAGATACTTGATCACGCACGAGGTGGCATGCCTTGTGGCTATCAAATACCTGGCCAGCGGCATGTCGTTTCGAGACCTGTCGGCAGTCTTCGGCCTGTCCAAGACGCTGTGCCACACGCTGGTAGATGCGCTCCTCATGCACTTCCCGACGGCCTTCAAGCAGCAGTGGGTCCACTTCCCGAGCCGTGACGACCTCGATGAGATGGCGGAGGAGTTTCGCGCCATCAAGGGAGTCCCTGCGGTGGTGGGGGCTATAGACGGCACACACATACCCATGAAGGGGATGGAGGGGCACAGGCAAGAGTACTACACGCGCAAGTCATGCTACGCCGTGCAGCTGCAGATCACATGCGATGCTGTGATTCAGGGATTTGTTTCGCATCAACCTGTGGGCGCTTCGACGTAGGCGTCCCCTGCGGCGTTGGTGCTGCACACGTGAGCCACGTAGAGTTGTATCAGTAGCTGACTAGTGTGTGATATTACGTCACATTTCTTCCCTACCCTAAAACAAAGTTGCACAAGTGCCACACCAAAACGTAAAGGTCCGAACATCAGAGTTGTTGCAAACTCACCGGTGAAAGTCGGAGAAGATGTGCATGGTGCTGATGGCGACGGAACCGCGAAACCGCACGGCACGTTGACGTGAGCCGCGCCACCACCGTCGACAGCGTGTGGGTTACCAACAGCCTTGTTGTTCTGGAATAGCGCCATGTACGGGTACCATGGAGGCTTGCACACCGCCCCCTTGCCGCTCGCCTTCTCCCCCTTCTTGATCTGCTTGTACACGTTAACGAGGTTGCGCCACTGCTTCTGCAGTGCGTTCACGCCGCGGACCCACCCGGGGTTCTCCTGCTCGAGATGACGCACGAGGCGGGCCCAGTACTGGGATCCCTGCTTGGCGAGGAGAGCGCCCAGCTCGTCCTTCATGAACCAACGAGCTGCGACGAAAATGGTGCTCTCGCGGGTAGACCACACGCTCCGCCTGACAGGGTTCAGGTTGCGCGTCTTCGACGCGCCACGAGGAGGCTCTCCGCCCTTTGCGGCAGTCTTGGTTCCGGCCGCAGTAGACGCACGGCCGCGACGGGTAGGCGGGGTAGTGGGTTGTGCCTCCTCGGCAACGTCCTCGTCGTCTTCAGCGTCCTCGTCGCCGTCGTCTTCGTCCTCGGAGGGGGACATGCCCTTGTCCGGCTCCTCGCCAGAGTCCGCGTCGTCGTCGTACGCCTCGTCGCAGTCATTGAAATCAGGATCGTCGTCGAAGGCCTCGTCGTCCACGACGCGGGATGATGCAACCCGGTCGGCATGAGGGCGTCCGCGGGTAGGCACGTCACGCGGGGCTTCGAACGAGGTGTCTCCCGCACCGGGCGCACCATCGGGCAGGGGGCCGGCGGGCTTGCGGCCGGCCGCGAGCTGCTTGTTCATCCAAGCGATGTACGGGATCTCGTTGAGATCCCGCGGGCACAAGTCAGCAGTGCTAGCGGCGCTCTTGCGCTTTCGGGCCATGGCTACGGCTGGGAAGAAGGAACAAGAAACAGGAAGGAGAGAGAGCAGGGGTTTGTAGAACAAGAATGGACTGGGGCGGGTGAGTGCTGTCTGCGTAGTTGGAATGGTGTGTTGGAAGTCGGGCAGGGATGTGTCATGACGGTCGCATCCACCAGTCATCTGTCTGCAGGGGCAGGGCGGTTTTCCTTTCCCGCTCGAAAATTGCCCTGTTCGATTGTCCAGGTGCATGTAGTACAGGGTGACATTTCGGGACGCGTGCAATTTCCGCAAGGTGACGGGGCCTCATGTAACTCGTCCGCGACACCCCCGCAATTCCCGCCAACCAATGTAAAATACTGTGTGAATCGAAGTAATGCGGTCCGCGTTTGTGACACACTACGACATATGCTGATTTCCGGTGTCACAAAGGGTTTGAGACACAAGTGTCTCCACAGGAACGTACCCTAAGGGTAAACAAGAACTACTCCTAGGTACCATGGCACCACATTAGAAAAACTACTCCTAGGTATGGTAAGATAAGCTAAATAATTCTCCCTATTCACTTTACTCTGTGTGCTGCCACTCCACACCACACCAGAGCATGGTACCATCCAATCACGATCCTCACGGCCATCACACAGTGAGCACGTGGAAGAGGAGGCAGCGGCGGGGCTCAGGGAACTGTTTGTTGCCGTCGCCCTGGTTGAGGTTGATGACGTCACCATTGGGTGCCTTGAGCTGCACGCTGGTGAGTGGCAGGCGCACACAGCACCCCTTGAAGGCCGACGCTGGCAGGTTCTTCTGAAACGTGCGCGCGCATACCTTGGCCGGCTGTGAGGGGAGGGGGAGGGGAAGCGGAGGGGTTGCGTGTGGGTGGGGAGAGCTTTTCAGGGAGAGCATTTCAGAATGCCTTGAGGGTACATTCTTGTTGTGGGTCAAACCTAAAATCGGATCGTGTTGCTGACTTGACTTGTTAGAACTGGTAATGACAGGAAGTAGAGGCTGGCAGGGGAGATGGAAGGATGGCGAAAGCAGATACCATACATGGGAACGGGGTATCGGGGAGGGGGTGTCTGCGAAGTATAGGGAGGCGGGGTTTGTAACGGAGCAGTGGTGGTGGGAAGGAGGGAAGAATGAAGGATGGGGGAGGGGGGGAAAGGGGCCGAGATGGGAGGGGTCTGCATGAGGGCAAGTGAGGAGGAGGTGGTGATGGTGGGGGATTGAAGTGGGAGAGAGGAGGGGTGAGGGGTGGAGAAGAGAGAGCACTCACCTGTCCAGTGGCGTAGAACTGATCGCCAGCATGCGCCACTGTTTTCGCCAGCTTCGCCGCCTCGCACTTGCAGTACTTCGCCGGGCCCGTCGCATCAATCTCCACTTGGTAACCACCCTTCTTCGCCTTCTTATCACCAAGAATTTCGCCAGCGTCAGGCGAAACGCCGGTGGCGATGGCGAGGCTCACGGGACGATCGCCGTTCTGCTGGGAGAGCACGAGAGCGCCGCCGGAGACGACGGGGAAGCGCAGCGAGGGCAGACCGAGCGGACCGAGCAGATCGAAGTAAAAGTCGCAGGCGGGAAGAGGGCCAAAATCGAGGCAGATTCCAGCCGCGTCGTGGAATAGGAGCCCGCCAGGAGCTTGCGCGATGGTGCTGGCCAACGTGGCGGCTGCTGATTGGACGGCGCCGGCCATGGCTCCTGCTGCTGCGCCCAGGGCTGCAGCGGGGTCGAATGGGGGGATCTGCAGAAGAGCGCGACGCGGTCCGTCACGGTGAAAAGCGGTGAAGTTTCGAGGAATGGAGGAGCTGGAGGCAGCTGTGGCAAGGCAGAGAACAGCCATGAGGATGCTTGTAACGCGGATGGCCATGTCGCTCAAATGCAGGTCAGAGTGTGTTGGCTGCTAGGAGAAAGAAGGAGCTTTTGGCGCTGTATGGAACGGGATGATATTAAGCGTTTCGCAGGAGGTGTTAAATAGCTGGCGCAACGGCAGGTCGCGTTGCCTTGACTCAGCTGGCACAGCAGCTGGCTCAGGCAGAGCGGCGCGTGTGCGTGCTCCCTCCATTCGGCGACGTCGCGGATACTCAATCCAGCGCAACGCAGAATCGAGTCGCACGAGGTGGCCGACGCGTCCATCTCTCCAGTCAAAGTGAGAAACCGCAGCGCGAGCGCCTCCAAACCTAGTCAGGTGTCGAAAATGAGGCTGCTTGTGTGTGAAACAATAAAAGGGACGACGGGGCTGAAAGAGGTTTCGGGAGCTGGGGGGCGCTAAGGGGGAAGGGGGAACGGGGGAGGGGTTATGGGGAAGGGAGTCCAGTAATCTAGGGAAGAAGAGGTGTGGGAGGGCTTGGAAATGTGGCGGTGCGCCTGTCATTTGAGGTTAGCGGAGAAGGGTTCCATTGGCTGCGCACTTGCGATCTCGAGCGTTGATTCTTTCATCCTGACAGCTGACTGTCGGGATGACAGCTAAACGGCTTATCGACCGGCTTGATGAGCACGATGGACGTCCCGTGACGTGTTGGTAAACAATTTGACATCACAAGGAGCCACATCAGCATACCGTAAAATAGAATAATGGCATAGTTGAAAATCAAGGTGATGCACATATTGTAAATATCAGCCCATAAGAAATCTGTACGATAATTGATCATGACTTTCATTCACTTTGAATGATATCGCCCAGTCATAGGAACTAATGAAAATTCTAAGAATTTCTAAAATAACATTCATACGTACATAACATTTTAAATCATGTTAAGTGACTGCCATTTTTTTTCTGTAGGTAGGTCCTATTGTGTATGACTTAGCTATGGATTTCATAAACAGCTTGGTAGTGTACTCTTTGCTCACTCACTTGCTTCATCCCACGCAACAATCTGGAAAGCAAAATTGTCGGGCAAATGTTATGCACTGGCCTCTTGATGACAGCTGACGGCGAAAAACAGTCATTGTCATTGGTGTGCTTGGCGCGCTAGACCCAACGTCCAGTAATTATCTGCGGGATGGCGTGGCTCTCCGTGATCGGGGCTGGCTCATTCATCGCCGCTGACGGCTGGGAGCGCCAAGCTCGCATCAAGCCTTGGTCGTCGCTGATGTGGTTCCAGCCCAGAGATGCGCCCCTGTACCGTGTTGTACCGCCGACTCTTCACCAGTCGAGTTTTTCGTGTGAGACGTACGTACTTCCCTGCCTGCCCAATCAACACAGCAAGCGGTGGATAGACGTGGTCCGAGCTACCTCCAACAACTGAGAACGGAGCGCATCGCCTCGAAATTTGTGAGCAGAGCAGTGCTCTCGTGAAACAACCAGAGATATTCCCGAGACGGATTCACACGAATCTCCCGCACTCGACCCACTTCCAAGGTTCTGGATTTCAGTTTTTTCTCTCCACCCACTTTCAAGGTTTGACTTCGCTCGCTTCAGCTTGAAATGATCAGACGGGTAATTCGGTACTTCCTCTGCATATGAATACCAGGTATCATCAGCGGGTAATCATCGCTTGATTGCAGACTGAATCCGTCACGATGAAGTCGTCCTGGATCAAGGCGAGAGCTGCTCTCTCAGTGCCTCTAAGCACGGGCCTTCACCGTTGGAACAGCAACGCGGCTTCGATCATGCCACCTCACAGCACGGCCGTTCGATTCTGCTCGTCCCATCGCCCAGTCCTCAGACCAGAATCATCGTCGTGTGCACTCTCACTCGCATCGTCGCACAGATCTTCGTGCAGCTTATCTTGCGATGCGTCGACGAGATCCTTTCCCGCCCACCGTCCATCGCTCTGCACGCGACAGCCCGTCGCACGGCCCCGATCGTCGCATGCAATCTCACGGGCAGGCCGCCTCGCGGCCACTCTCACCACCTCCTTCCTCCACCCCGCCGGCGCAGGCGTCGCGGTCCCTCCCCTTGCTTGCCGGCCGCCGAAACGGCAACTGACCGTTGCAAGCGGCGCCGCCAGCGCGGGCCAACCAGCTGTACCTCAGCAGCCGCACCGAGCATCAACGCCGGATACGTCTATCGCGTCGGGCAACGGCAGTGTTTCGGAGTTTTCCACGTCGATCCACGAGGAAGTGGAGGGAAGCATTTGGCAGGGAGGGAAGAAGCGGCGGGCGGCGGTCGACGTGGAGGAGGAAGTGGTGGTGGCGGGGGACGGTGCGGCGGTGGGCAGAGGGCAGCAGAGCTACGCGCAGCTGGAGCCGACCCCCATGGTGCAGGAGGCGTGGGACCTCCTCAACGCCTCCGTCGTTCATTATTACAACCAACCCGTACGCGACTCCCCTCCTGTCCCCTCCTCCCCTCCTCTCACCTCCTCCCCCTCCCCCTTTTTTCAGTCTTCACACTCATTCAGTCCTCACGTTCATTCCTCTATGTTAATACACTTTCCCTCTCCTTTTCCTCATTCTTTCCTTTCCCCTTCCTTATCCTCTCTCTTCCGTCACTCGCCTACTCTCCCTTCATGACCAGGTGGGCACAGTGGCTGCAGCGGACCCCACGTCAACAGCAGCGCTCAACTACGACCAGGTGTTCATCCGCGACTTCATCCCCTCCGCGCTCGCCTTCATGCTCTCCGGCCACCACGAGATCGTTCGCAACTTCCTCCTCTACACATTACAGCTGCAGGTCAGTTCAATATGTGCCTGTTGCTGGGGTCATGCCTTTAGGTGCAATCGTTCCCGTGCACGCAGTGAGGTCAGTCGGCAGGCCGTCGCATGATCGTCCGCAGTTCCTACTTTACACGCTGCTGCAGCAGGTCAGCTGCCCATCCATCATCGCACGCTGCGTCTCATACATTCCCCAATCCGTCAATGCTCCACTTCACACTCCACGTCACACGCATACAGTCAGCGCCATTCCCCATCCTCGCCCATCCCCCACACTCCTCCCACCCACATTTCCTAACACTGCCCATGCGTGTTGAGACAGCCTTAAACCATTTTTTTTTCTCCTTGCACTGTCCATGACCCACCAGAGCTGGGAGAAGGCTGTAGACGCGCACAGGCAGGGCGAGGGGCTCATGCTGTGCCACTGCCCGCGTGTTTTGAGTCGCGTCTCCAAATTCTCTATTTTCCTCCTCGCACTGCGTGTTCGCCTTGCACCACCAGAGCTGGGAGAAGACCGTAGACGCGCACAGGCCAGGCGAGGGGCTCATGCCGGCCAGCTTTAAGGTCACGCAGACGCCCGTGGAGGGCAGCGCTGGGGGCGGGGCGGCGTACGAGGAGCACCTCGACCCCGACTTTGGCGAGTCTGCTATCGGCCGTGTGGCTCCTGTTGACTCTGGTGAGCGGTTGGCGCTTTCATTGTGATAACCAGCTCTGACATTCGTGACCACTTGCGAATCTGATAATGCCTGTGTCTCTCTCTGCCCTGTGTCCCTGTCCTTCTCTCACTTACCCCATCCTCTTAATGAATTCGTTCTTCTTCATCCGTCCCTCCTTTATCCCATTCTGCTCCCCCACTCCTCCTCCCTCCGACCCCTTCCCCCATCCCCCCCTTTCTTCCTCACTTTCCCATCTCCCTCCTCCCCCAGGCCTGTGGTGGATTCAACTATTGCAAGCATATGGGCGGTGCACGGGGGACGTGTCATTGCAGCAGAGAGTGGACGTGCAGACGGGCATCAAGCTCATTCTCAAGGTCTGCCTCGCGGACCACTTCGACATGTTCCCCACGCTCATCACCACCGATGGCTCCTGCATGATCGATCGCAGACTGGGCATTCACGGGCATCCGTTGGAAATCCAGGTGAGCTCACTGCTCCGTAAATGAGGTGGTTCATGAGGTGGAAAGGTCTGCCTGGCGGACCACTTCGACATGTTCCCCACGCTCATCACCACCGACGGCTCCTGCATGATCGACAGGCGGCTCGGCATCCACGGCCATCCCTTGGAGATTCAGGTGAGCCCCTCAGCGGTGACTTTGCTGCTCACCACACTGCCACATTTCCCTGCACAGCCTCCGGACCCACCATCCCCCCATCCCCATACACTCCATTCGGTGCTATAAGACACCCTGCGAGCAGCGTGTAAGGTGGCTTTTGGGTCGACTGGAAAGGCAGTTTCCTTTGCCACTCCAGTCTCTCCTATACGGCGCCCTGAGAGCAGCGCGAGACATGCTCATCCTGGAGGGGGACAGAATCGACCTCAACCGCGCCCTGCTCAGTGCTCACCCGCTTTGCCACCACCGCGCCTACGCCTTCTCACACCCTGCTCACCACCCCCTTACATCCCCTGCCAACCCAACCCCCTCCCCCATCCCCTCAACCCGCCTCCATCCCCATCCTCTCCAGTCACTCCTATACGGCGCCCTGAGGGCAGCGCTCGACATGCTCATCCCAGAGGGCGACAGCATCTGTCTCATCCGTACTACCTGAACGTCCTTCTGCCGAAGAACCACCACAAACTAGTGCCCTGAAACCTCCTTCACCATCACTCCCACCCTCTCCACCCCACCACTCCCCAACCTCCCCTTGCCATTCCAGTCTCTCCTGTATGGCGCCCTGAGAGCAGCGAGTGAGGAGCCTCTTGAGTCGACTCAACCCCCGTCCCTCTCATCCCCTTTCCCACTGCGCAGTCGCTCCTATACGGCGCCCTGAGAGCAGCGCGAGACATGCTGATCCCGGAGGGCGACAGCATCGACCTCATCCGCGCCGTCAACTCGTGCCCCACCACACTGGCCCTCCACATCCGCCGCTACTACTGGCTGGACCTGCCCGCACTCAACACCATCTACCGCTTCAACTTGAGCACTGAAGAGCACTCACACTCTTGCAAATCCACCCTCTCACTCCCCCTCTCCTGCCCTATTCCCACATATGCAGTCACTGTTATACGGCGCCCTGAGAGCAGCGCGCGACATGCTCATCCCAGAGGGCGACAGCATCGACCTCATCCGTGCCATCAATGTGCGGCTCACTGCCCTGGCCTTCCACATCCGGCGCTACTACTGGCTGGACCTGCCCGCACTCAACACCATCTACCGCTTCAGGAGAGAGAGGAGCAAGCCCGAGAGGAACACTCTCGCAATTCACCCACTTCCGCCCCTTCCCCTGCCCCCTCCCCTGCAGTCTCTGTTATACGGCGCCCTGAGAGCAGCGCGGGACATGCTAATTCCAGAAGGCGACAGCATCGACCTCATCCGTGCCGTCAACGCGCGGCTCACGGCGCTGGCCTTCCACATCCGGCGCTACTACTGGCTGGACCTGCCCGCCCTCAACACCATTTACCGCTTCAAAACCGAAGAATACTCGCACGACGCCGTCAACAAGTTCAACATCTACCCGGATCAGATCCCCCCGTGGCTCATGGACTGGATCCCGGACCGCGGAGGGTACTTTGTGGGGAATGTGCAGCCGGCGCATATGGATTTCCGGTGGTTTGCGCTGGGGAATCTGTGGGCGATTGTGAGCAGCCTGGCGTCGCACCAGCAGGCGGAGGCGATTCTGGATCTGGTGGAGGAGAAGTGGGATGAGCTGGTGGGGGGTATGCCGATGAAGATCTGCTTTCCTGCATTGGAGAACGGCGAGTGGCGCATTATTACTGGCGCTGACCCCAAGAACACGTGAGTTTCAAGTGGGGGTGCGAGGTCTGAGGGGGGTTTATTGAAGTGGGATGAGCTGGTGGGCGGCATGCCCATGAAGATCTGCTTTCCCGCGCTGGAGAACGGCGAATGGCGCATCATTACCGGCGCTGATCCCAAGAACACGTGAGTCATTAAGGGGGGCAGGAAGCAGTATGTGAGTTTTGACGAGGGGGGGATCTCAGGAAATCGTGAGGTGTGAGAGAGGGGGGTTAGGGAAGTGGGATGAGCTGGTGGGCGGCATGCCCATGAAGATCTGCTTCCCTGCGCTGGAGAATGGCGAATGGCGCATTATTACTGGCGCTGACCCCAAGAACACGTGAGTTGAAGGGAAGGGGGAAATGTCCTAGCAACACATGTGATGGCATGGCGCATGTGCCTCTGGTGTGTGGGGTGGGTGCATGTAGCATGATGATCGGGACTCGCAATCGTCACTGTCACATGAGGCTGTTGTGGGATAGGTACATGTTTGTTGGAGAATGTGTGTGCTGTTTGTCCCCTCCTGTAGCTTTGGTGCTCTCCTCCAGTCAGCACAGGGAGGGTGTGGAATCACAACAGCGGATCGTGACTGCTGCAGTGCTGTGGTTCTGCTGTACTCCTGCCTTTTCCTCCTTCCCAACCCCCGCTCTCCATCCCAACCCCTGCCTTTCCCTCTGTCCCAAACCGTCTATCTCCCAACAGAGCGTGGTCGTACCACAACGGGGGGTCGTGGCCGGTGCTGCTGTGGCCGCTCACAGCGGCGTGCATCAAGATGGGTCGCCCCCACCTTTGAGACGCCTCAATAGTTTCCCTCCCCTTCCCCCTTCTCCCACAGAGCGTGGTCGTACCACAACGGGGGGTCGTGGCCGGTGCTGCTGTGGCCGCTCACAGCAGCGTGCATCAAGATGGGTCGCCCCCACCTGGCACAGCGCGCTGTGGCCCTCGCAGAGCAGCGCCTGCAGGCCGACCGCTGGCCCGAGTACTATGACACCAGGTACTGTGCGGTGACACCAGTTACTGTGCAGTGTGACAGGGTGCTGTGCGGTGATAAGAGGTATTGTGCTGTGACAGAAGCTACAGCAGAAGGGTTAAGGCCTATCCGCACACCATTCTTCACCCATCCTTACCCTCACTGCGTCCCTCCAGGCGAGGGCGGTTCATAGGCAAGCATGCGAGGCTGCACTAGACGTGGAGCACAGCAGGGTATCTCACAGCCAGACTGCTGCTCACCAACCCCCACGCCGTCTCCCTCATTGCTCCCTGTCCCCCCTCCCCCCCTTGCGCGCACTCTGCCCCTCCCTGCAGGAGGGGGCGGTTCATAGGCAAGCAAGCACGGTTGCACCAGACGTGGAGCATCGCGGGATACTTAACAGCCAAGCTGCTGCTCGCCAACCCCCACGCCGTCTCGCTCATAGCAGCGGACGAAGACTGTGACATAATCAACGCCTCCACCACCCTCCTCGCCTCCAACCCCCGCCGCCGCCACCGCCCCAACCCGCTGCCCTCGCCACTCTTTTGAAGAAGAATTCTTCGAGTGGAGGACTGTACTTATCAGAGGAACTGTGGTTATGGGAGCGTATGTTGGAGTGTATAGTTGGCATTTTTCCAGGCGTCTGCATTGCATTTGTGCTAATCTAATCGCTTCATTTGTTATGGTGTCATGTAGCGTAGCGTGCTTCTGTTCCGCCTTCTTGCCAATGCGTGTGCTGGGTGGAATGTGTGTCGTCTTGTCTTGTGGTCGAACCTTCTAAAACGGTATGTGATTGTCGACTGGAAACAACGGTGTACTAAAAAAGAAAAACCGACATTCCCAAGCGCGTGCGATGGGAAATAGTTTGCGGGTCGCACTTGCGGCTTGATGGCATCGAATCAACAAAAGGTTTGCATTGTACATGCGCGGTTCCACCTTGTGACACCTAGCACCCTATTTACGCCACAAATCAACCGGGGGTGACAATATTTAAGACACCTTCTTTCGCGACATAATTGATTAGAACGCGCCCTAGCTCCAAGACCTGGGAACCTATCCTGTGCGATCGAATGCTTGACACAAGACCTTCAACTCCCACAGTCCCGCCACCAGCTATCCCAAGCTTGCGAAGTCGCCTCGCCCTTCCAATCTGAGGTAACAGAGCAGTGGGGCTGGGTCGCAGGGGCGCGACGAAACGTCTTCAATCAGGAACTACAATGCCCTTCCTACAGTAATTAGGGACCGTGGAGTCCTTCCTCCAATCAGAGGTAGACCTTCTTCCAAACCAGACCAGGTTCGGGAGTCGAATCATCCGTGGCATCCAGCACCTGACCTAAGAGAGGCTCGTCATCATGGCGGCGTCGCGGCGGCGAACAATTTCAGTTCCACTCGCGCCGAAGCTCCAAACCAAATTTTCTTCTCTTGCTCTCATTACATTTCTACTCGGCGCTTGTGGGCATCACACCGTACACTTCCCACAGTTTTTCTCCTCATCTGGTATATCAACAAGTACTAGCGTGCAGGGTGGTAATATTGCTAGTACTATTAGCACCGCTGGGCCTCTCTTGTACTCGTAGCGCCTCTCAGTTCCCTGCGCAGCATCTCTGCCGCAGCGCAATGGCTGCCTCACGATGGGCCGTCACTCAAGGGCGCGGCGGCGACACGTTCTCCGCCGCGAAGCTTCTCCCCGTGCTCATCCTCGCATTGCTGCTCCAGACGCCCTCCGCGTCCGCCCGCCGCTGGTTCTGGAACGACGGTCTCTTCCCCGTCGCCGCCACAGGCGAAGCAAACGCCGCCGACGCCGCGCCGCTCACCGCCACGGGGGCCGCGCCGCCGGCGGTTCCATCACAAATTTGTTAGCCCCCCGTACTATGTACTTATAGGTTCTGCTATATTGTAGATACGGAGCTTTATAGAGTAAATTGCTTGTAGCAGAACCTATAAGTACTATGTACGGGGGAAAACATTTTTGGGATGTCCATTCCCAACGCCAGCCCCGACGGCGCCGGCGCCGGCGGCGCCAACGTGCGACGACGCGCCTGTGGACCCTTCGGTCGTGTCTGCGGCAGCGCCTGGCGATCCGTGTTCGGCGCTGGCGGCGGAGCTAATACGCGCTGCAGAGAAATTGGGGAACAAAACTGGAGGGAAAGGGTTCGCGGCTCCTTCTCTCTTCCGCGCGTGCCACTCCACATTCCTGTTCAGGTACTGGTACCGTGGCTTCGAAGCGTCTTCTCTATCCAGGGTAATATATGCTCCGCTTTACTTTTCAACGTGTGGTTTTCAAACTCTACCTGTTTGCTCAGCAACATGTACGACCCTCACAGTTTTGTGATGCTGAACTCGAATGTGCGGACCTGATTCGCGACTTTACAATGAGTCGGGTTGGAATCGTTCGTCCCTATTCATGATGTTTTGAGACGTCTCAAAACATCTCTTTTATCACGCAGGAAGGACTGCGACGCGGAAGACCTGCTGTCGATCGCGAACGCGTTCGACAATCACTACGTGTACAAGCTCATCGCCATGGACTCGCCCGACCAGACCAATCTGCCGAGCCGCCTCGATATTGTCGCGGACCTGTGGAAAGTCGTCAAGGACGCCGTTGGGGGAAAGTACGCGCGGCTGGTGGACGCGCACATGGCTGCGTTCCGAGCGACGCTGGCGCTGAATGATGGGCACAGCATGTTCATGCCGGATTGCTTCGTTGGGAGCTACGACCTGCCGCTGCCGCTCATGGCTGTCGTCGAAAACGGGCAGCAGATCATTCGCGTCGCGCCACGCCGATGTGAGTGTTTAAAGTACCTTTCAACGGCGGTTGTAGGTTCCACTGTATGAGCGAGTGTTACCCATATCCCTGGTGATGGGCTGTTCCAATCCAACTGTTCAACGATATTCCTCTGCACTCTGCTGCAAAGAATAGCACTACACCGGTTGCACTTAAACTCTTCCTCTTATTTACTCCCTATGGCCATCAGTTGTCACTCCCCAAGGGATGGTCCACATTGCCAAGGTTTTGCACGATTTTGACTTTGGCCTTTATGAGGGCCGACAGGTATGTACGCGTGCAATAAACTGACTGAGTCACCTGATTCGACAATGTCGTTCATGGAACGTCATTCAATTCAATTCAAGCACCTGATTTGCCAACGGCATTCAAGCACCTGGTTCCTTCAACTGTTGCATGCAAACACTTATTCTACAGCTCTACCTTACATGCTCATGCGGCGTCCCAGGTGGTGGCTATTAACGGGGATAAAGCGGAGGATTTCATCCTGAATTGGGCGGACAAGGAAATGGGCCAGTTTCGCAATCGCGCTTCGCGGTTCACAAAAGCTTTTGCGATAAATGAAGCGACAGGGACGCTGAAAGGGACGAAGATCGTGCAGGTGCCGGGCGACTTCGCCCGTCGATATCTGCCTCCCGAAAATGACGCCTTGCTGGTGTCGTTCGCAACAGCGTGAGCTACAGTACTTGATGCTCATTGGCTCTCACTGTCACGCTTCCCTGCTTCTTCCCTGCTGCTTGCTTGCTTGGTGTTTGCTGTTTGCTTGGTGTTTGCATGCTGCTCATAGGTTCTCCTTGTCTCTCTCCTCTGCTCCTTCCCTGCTTTTTCTTGCTTGGCGTTTTCATGCTGCTCATTGGTTCTCCCTGTCGCGCTTCCTTTTTTCTTCCCTGCTGTCTGCTTGCTTGACGTTTGTTTGCTGCTCGTTTGTTTGCTGCTCGTTTGCTTGCTGCTCGTTTGCTTGCTGCTCGTTTGCTTGCTGCTCATTTGTTTGCTGCTCGTTTGCTTGCTGCTCGTTTGCTTGCTGCTCGTTTGCTTGCTGCTCTCCCTGTCTCTCTCCCTGCTGTTTGCTTGCTGCTCTCCCTGTCTCTCTCCCTGCTGTTTGCTTGCTGCTCTCCCTGTCTCTCTCCCTGCTGTTTGCTTGCTGCTCATCAGCCCACTCGTCCCCCTTCACACTTCGTGCGTCCCCCTCCTCCCCCCACCCTACCCCTACCACACCACTGCATTTCTCAGGGATGGAAGTGCGACGGAGGAAGTACAGGTGCCATGGATCGGGACAGCTAGCCATTCCCACTTTGCAAACGCCACAGGGTACTGGAAGAGGTACTGTGCCGTGGCGAGCCCATCAGTGACTGGCGGCACCAGCGCACAGGCAAGCACGGTCGGACAGGCAGCAGACATTCCGATGATGGACAGGTTTCTCGATCGCCACCCCGCTCCCGTCTACTACGGTGATACCAGTGATGGTAGTGATGGCAGTGGCGAATTGAATGTCGAGATTTCGTCGGTCTCTGCTGCAGCAGCAGACGGCTCGTCTGGTGCGGTAGCGGGCCCGACTATAAAGAGGATCTCACCAACGACTGATAATTTTTTGGTGAGGGGGATGGCTTTAGTTGCTGGGGTGGATGTTGGAGGTCGTATGGAATCTTGCCCGCTGGATGCCGCTGGGTGCAGTTGGGTGCCGCTGGGTGCTTGGGTAGTTATCTGGTTGCTATTCAGTTGTTAATTAGTGACGCCTGGGGCTTACCATTTGTGTCGGTTGGTGTGTGTCATCTAGGTACTTGCGTGTAACAGCAACTGACTGCCATCTGATATGCTCTCATCCAATCAGATTTGATCTGATTTGAGGCGCATGTGTGTGTGTGGGTGCATGCAGGTGTACCTGGTGGGCAACAGCACGGCGGTGGTGTGGATTCACCAGTTCTTTTTCAGCGAGGCAGTGATGAAGGTGTTGCAGGCCAATAAGGTTGACCCGGAGATGTACATGGTCATGGAGGTCACCAAGGCCCTCAACACCGCTGCAGCGTCAGTACTCCTCTCCACCTCCTCTTACTCCTTTCCAACTCCTCCTACTCCTCTCCACCTCCCCCTACTCCTCTCCACCTCCTCCTCTCCACCTCCCCCTACTTCTCTCCACCTCCCCCCTCGACTACTCCTCTCCCATCCCCTTCCTTCCTTCTACTACCCCCTCAATTGCTTTAGGCAGCGCGTCTTGTTATGTAAAAATAGCACCCAGCCCCGCTACCTTCCCCACTCCATGTCTCATGCTGGTACCCTGCTCTCAATTCATTTTTCACCTGCCTTGTTATCCTCATCACTTTCCCACCCTTCTGCTACTTGCCCTTTTCCCCATGCCTGTTTCCATGTCCCTTCCCTTGAATCCCCCATGTGTTCCCCCACGCATCCTCCCGTGTGTTGCCCCATGCCTCTCCCCATGTGTGCCCGCATGCGTCATCTCATCCCATGCTCCCCCTCCCCTTTTCAGATATCCAGCGCCTCTCAGATCATCATCATCACATACGTGCGTGGCAACGGTGGCGGTTCCGTTGCAGCAACGCTCATGTGTCCCCCCATTTGTCCCCCCCACGTGTCCCCCCATGTGGCCCCCCACGTGTCCCCCCACGTGTCCCCCCATGTGTCCCCCCATGTGTCTCCCTATGTGTCCCCCCATGTGTCCCCCCATGTGTCTCTCTATGTGTCCGCCATGTGTCCCCATTCCCGCATGTCTTTCCGTGCCTCCCCCTACACTCCCCCCCATGCCTCCTCCCCTCATGCCCTCCCACCAGCTCCAACGCCTCGCAGATCATCATAGACGTGCGGGGCAACGGGGGCGGGTACAACGCAGCAACGCCCATGTGTCCCCCCATGCTCCCCCCCCCTCCCCCCCTCCAGATCCAACGCCTCGCAGATCATCATAGACGTGCGGGGCAACGGGGGCGGGTACACGGCAGCAGGGTACACGGCCATCCGGCTGCTCATGGGGGCAGCCAAGGCGCCCGACTCCGACTTCGCCCTGCCAGTGGACTGCATCAACGGCACCGAGTACGCCGAGAACGCCATCACCGCGCTCTCCATCGACCCCACCACACAGTACTTCATAGGGCTGTACGCAGACCTCAACGGGACCGGGTTCGCCAGCGCCTTTGACTACGCGCCTTTCCGCGAGCTCCGCTTCACGGAAACCGGCCCGGCGGGGAAATACTCGGCGCCGTTCAAGTTGAATAAGCAGTTCACCGGGAAGCAGGAGCAGCCGGTGTTTGGGGACCGCCCGTTCCTGGTCCTGTCGGATGGGAATTGCTTTTTTGCCTGCGCCATCCTCACGCACGTCCTGGGGAAACGCCACAAAGTACCCATGGTAACTGTGGGTGGTTTGCACAACGAGCCTCCGGCCGTGAGCTCCTCGTGCCTCGGGTTTACCGAGCCTAACATCTTTTCATTGTCAAAAGGCCTTAGCAATCTCGCTGCCTTGGTGCCACAGAACGCGTCGTTGCCTCTCAAGGTGAAAGGGGTGGTTGGCATGGCGCTTACTAACGGGTATGTGGATTCGAAGATTCCGTGCGAGTTTGTGTTTCTGCCCAGCCAGCATCACATCAACTACGCCGTTGATCTGATTGGCAAGCCCTGGGCCATGTGGAGTGAGGTGGCCAAGCTCTTTGGCTCAGGTGCAGTATAGGCTATGTGTTGTGTTGACACCAAGATCAGGCGCCCTAAAAATTGACACCTCAGCAGCTTAGTTCATTCATCAGGTGCCCTGACAGTTGACTGACACCACAGCAGCCTTGTTCATGCCCTTCTCGTGTATTGGCTGAAAATGAGGCTCCCAAAGTCTTCTCTTGGGCTGGTGGTCGTGCTTTTGGTGGTTATGTGGATGGATGGGTGCTGAAGGTTTTCAGTTTTTTCATGGTGTGTGTTTGTTTTGGAGATAGGGGTGATTTGTTATGTCGAGGAGTGTGATTCACTTTTCCTGGTTTCCTTACTGAAATAGATGTTATGGCAGAGACGAGAACGTTATGAGGTAACATGACTAGATTGACACGAAGGAAGAAAATCATATCGAGTACACATTCTCCAGGATTTTTTTGCCACACCAGCAGATCCTTCCACAGATGTTAGGGTATGCTGATGTGGCTTCTTGTGATGTCAAATTGTTTATCACCACGTCACGGCAGGTCCATCGTACTCGCCTTTGAAATGAAGCCGGTTGTTAAGCCGTTTATGACGTGTCACCTGAAGCGGTCGATCGGCTGGAAGATCGGTTTTGCGCATGGGGTATAGCAATGTAGCGTCGTGATCAGCAAGGTAACTGTATTTCGTGATTTTCGCGAATGTACAGTAAAAATGTGCCCACGAACCTGTCACCTACGGGTGCCCTGTTCGATACAGCGAAGTAAAAATATCGAGCGTGAGATTGGGTGGCGGGGTGCGGAATTTCGCGCCACAAGTGACAGTCAATTTCGAATGTTTTCGCTCGTCATCGCATACCCTAGGTTTCCCAGTGCGATTCTGCGCACGAAAACTTTGCTGTTGTCGCAGGCTAGGTTACCACAACCCCGTAACCTGCCATACCGAACCTGTCACCTGTATATCGGTGCGCCGTAGCTGCGCAGTCATGGGCACCGATCTCTACCGAGCTTGGGCTCGAAAGGACAATCGGTGCGGATCGGCCGATCTTCGGCCGAACCGCTTCAGGTGACGCGTCCTTAGCTGTCATTCCGACAGTTACCTGTCAGGATGAAAGTATCAACGCTCGAGATTGCAAGTATCCATCCAATGGTCCTCCTCCGCTGACAGGTGCGCTGCGCCGCCGCATTTCCAAGCCCTCCAACACTCCCGCTTCCCTGCTCATCTGTTCATACTTTCCCCATTCCCTAGACTCCCCGTATTCCCTCCCCCATTCCCCGTTTCCCCTTAGATTTCCCCCAGCTCCGCAAATCTTGCGATTGGAGTTCCCGAAGTTCCTGCTGGCTCTTTCAGCCCCATCGTCCCCAATATTGCCTTATTTCTCACACAAGCAGCCTCATTTTCGACACCCAACTAGGTTTGGAGGCGCTTGCGCTGCGGTTTCTCACTTTGACTTGAGAGACGGACGCGTCGGCCACCTCGTGCGACTCGATTCTGGGTTGCGCTGGATTGAGTATCCGGGACGTCGCCGAATGGAGGGAGCACGCACACGCACCGCTCTGCCTGAGCCAGCTGCTGTGCCAGCTGAGTCAAGGCAACGCGACTCGCCGTTGCGCCAACTATTTAACACCTCCTGCGAAACGCTTAGTACCATCCCGTTCCACACAGCGCCAAAAAGCTCCTTCTGTCATCTAGCAGCCCAACACTCTCTGACCTGCATAGTTTGAGCGATATGGCCATCCGCGTTACAAGCATCCTCATAGCGGTTCTCTGCCTTGCCACAGCTGCCTCCAGCTCCTCCATTCCTCTAAACTTCACCGCTTTTCACCGTGACGGACCGCGTCGCGCTCTCCTGCAAATCCCCCCGTTCGACCCCGCTGCAGCCCTGGGCGCAGCAGCAGGAGCCATGGCCGGCGCCGTCCAATCAGCAGCCGCCACGTTGGCCAGCACCATCGCGCAAGCTCCTGGCGGGCTCCTATTCCACGACGCGGCTGGAATCTGCCTTGATTTCGGCCCTCTGCCCGCCTGCGACTTCTATTTCGATCTGCTCGGTCCGCACGGGCTGCCCTCGCTGCGCGTCCCCGTCGTCTCCGGCGGCGCCCTCATTCTCTCCCAGCAGAACGGCGATCGCCCCGTGAGCCTCGCCATCGCCACCGGCGTTTCGCCTGACGCTAACGAATTTCTTGGCGATAAGAAGGCGAAGAAGGGTGGTTACCAGGTGGAGATTGACGCGACGGGCCCGGCGAAGTACTGCAAGTGCGAGGCGGCGAAGCTGGCGAAAACAGTGGCGCATGCTGGCGATCAGTTCTACGCCACTGGACAGGTGAGTGCTCTCTGTTCTCCACTCCTCACCCCTCCTCTCTCCCACTTCAATCCCCCACCACCCTCCCCCTTCCCTCTCGTTGCTCCTTTGCAAACCACTCCCAACGCCCCTCCTCCCCCCCCCCACGCTCCCCCCTTTCTTTCCTTCCCCTCCCATAAGTTTTCATTCCTTCCCACCACCACTGCTACCTTATGAATCCTACCTCCTTTTACCCCCAATCACCTCCTCCCCGATCCCCCTTACTTCCGCCATCCATCCGCCAAGAAACGAAGCCTTCTGGCTGAGAACATTCCAGGAAAAAAACAGAATCCAAATAGTCACGCTCGCAACTCGACCGATTATCCGTTTTGACACACAACAGAAATGGTGTACCCTGGGGGTATACTCAAATGGTGTCTCTCAAACGCACCCACGCACCACCCCCTTTCCCCCCCACCCCCCCTCTTCCCCGTAGCCGGCCAAGGTATGCGCGCGCACGTTTCAGAAGAACCTGCCAGCGTCGGCCTTCAAGGGGTGCTGTGTGCGCCTGCCTCTCACCAGCGTGCAGCTCAAGGCACCCAATGGTGACATCATCAACCTCAACCAGGGCGACGGCAACAAACAGTTCCCTGAGCCCCGCCGCTGCCTTCTCTTCCATGTGCTCACTGTGTGATGGAGGATCGGCATTGTTTAGTTTCATTCCCTAGTGTGGAGTGGCAGCACAGAGTAGAGAGCAGATGGAAAAAAAAATCTAATTTTACCTAGGAGTAGATCTTCTCATTCACAAAGCTAGGCACTGTATCATCAGTCTCATTACTGTATGAGATCTAGCAGCGACTGTGGACCATTTTATGGAGTTATGACAGTAAAAGTATTCACTGTGATTTCAAGAAGTGACATTGCCTGACTCACATCCCACAAAGCACCACTGGGTGCATGGATCCTTTGATTTGAACTAGTGATTGTGTACGTACACCAGAAAACATCGGCAGATAATTACTGTATCGGAACATAAGTATCAAAACCACTGTCATGCTAAAGCAGCTGCTGCTTCGTCCCTGAGTGTAGCTCGTAACACTTCATCTAGTCTCATGCACCCAGCAATACCCAGCTCCACCGCTTCATTGACTCGTTTGACCGACATATTCCCCGTGGCATTGCACAGCACCACCTCGTTCAGTGATGGCATCAGCGCCACCACCACCCGTCCCTCCTCCACCCGCTCCTCCTGTGAACTGGGATCCAATAGCAGGTCGCCACGGCATATGCTCTGATTTGAGTTGAGAGAGGAGAGATCAAGAAGTGCGGGAAGATTTGGGTAGTGCACGAGAGGGGGAAGGATGGTGAGTGGAGCATGAGGGATAGGTGAGAATTTCCAGTTGGAAAAAAAGCGAAGACTGGGCGAGACTAGACACAAGATGCTGTGCATTTGGCTGCCTAGCATTTTGGTGTGTGAGGAAGGAGGAGATGGATGGGTGGCTGACTGTGAACAGTGTGTGGGCCCATGGCAGCGCTGCATTCAACGATGACAGATGGAGTGGCATGCTTGCAGAGCTGTAGGGGCTCCTGTCACTTTCTCATATCATATCTGTTGCTCATATGGTGACCACGACTGAAGCAAGCAAGTGAAGGACCCTTAACGGCACCACCCACTCACCACAACCGACGCGGTAACCAGGTCGTTGAGATGCACGCCTGCATCTGCCAGCGCCATGGATGCCGCTGTGATCATCACTGCCACGTCAGCTGGTGGTGACACGGGGAGGGTGGGCGGGGAGGTGGGTGGAAGCGATGGGAGAGGAATGAGTGCGGGGAGACGAATGGGCGCGAATTACTAACAGGGAAAGGGAAAGAGATGGGCAGAGGCGAAAGGGATGAAAGGGGAAGGGGATGCGAGGGCGGAAAGCATACTAGCAAGTCCATTCCCATTGAACACAACTCGGCGTCACCTCCACCCAACTCCAGCAGCAGCAGAGAGACATCAAGCGTGAACTTGGGGAAGAGGTGTAGCTGAAACTGGTTACCACCTGGTTACCACCTGACGAGCTCGTAGCGTGTGTGCTCTCCTCTCACTTCCACCGGACTCCAGCGGCAGCAGGGAGACATCGAGGGCGGCCTTGGGGAAGACGTGCAGCTGAACCTGGTTACCACCTGGTCTCCAACTGGTTACCACGTGGTGTGCTGTGAGCGTGTGTGCTCTCACCTCCACCAGACTCCAGCAGCAGCAAGGAGACGTCGAGGGTGGCCTTGGGAAAGAGGTGCAGCTGAATGGCCGGCAGCAGCGCACTCTCCACCTCACTAGCTAGCCGCTCCTCTGCTCCCTGCACGCATGGTGCGTTCATGGTGATGGGTGATGGGTGATGGGTGGCGGCAATGCCTTGAGCTATGGGTCATAGAGTCATGATACATGAACCTGCACAGTCATGGGTAGCAGAGGCAAGGCCTTAAAGTCATAGGCCATGAATCATTGCTCACGGCTGATGGTGCCAAAAGGTTTTTCAATGTAGAGGTTCTCTTACCCTACCTTTGCAGAATACCCAATTGCTACTCTGAGCGTCATGACAGCTAAAATGACTCACCTGCGTGCTGCTGTTGCGGTTGGGCGTGGCGAAGGGTGCTATTCTGACGTCACACTTGAGCCGCCCCTTCCCCCCCACCGACTGCTCCGCCTTGCGACTCTCCCGTGGACCAAAGCTGCACATGGTGAGGGGGGGCGAGGGGAGAGGAAGGGATTGGAGTGGGAAGGGGGGGAGAAGGTGAGAGAATGGGAGAGGAGGGAGGGGATAGGACAAATTTATAGATCAGAGGCGCAAGGTGCTAATGGGAACAAGAAGTGGGGCGTGTGGAATGTCACGAACGCGACTAGTGCATAAGACAGGCCGTAACAGCAAACAGTGAGTCATGCGTGAGACGTAATATCCTGGACATGTCACAAGGGCTTCTCCCCAGAAACGGTCACAAGTGTGGCGATTGGTCACGGCCAGCCAGCCCGCTTGCAAACCTCCCTCCCAGCAACACACAACCACAGCAGATTTCACAGAGCTGTGGAATGTCACAAAGCTGTGGAATGTCACAAAGCCGTTGCATGAGCAGATGGGCAGCACAGCAGCAAAACGTTGCCGGGAGTGCTGGTGGAGTCAGACAGAAAGAGTCCAAACAAGCCACATAGCAGAACAGAAATGTGGAACCCCACACATATCAGAGCAATTAAGCAGTGACTTTTGAGTCGACTCAAAAGATTATCACACCTCCACTCACACGGCCACTATCACTTTGGTGCCGCCCCACTCACACGGCCACTATCACTTTGGTGCCGCCCCACTCACACGGCCACTATCACTTTGGTGCCGCCCCACTCACACGGCCACTATCACTTTGGTGCCGCCCCACTCACACGGCCACTATCACTTTGGTGCCGCCCCACTCACACGGCCACTATCACTTTGGTGCCGCCCCACTCACACGGCCACTATCACTTTGGTGCCGCCCCACTCACACGGCCACTATCACTTTGGTGCCGCCCCACTCACACGGCCACTATCACTTTGGTGCCGCCGAACTCCGCATAGGCCGACCCCGACGCCTGTGTGACCGTCTTTGCCTTGAGAACTGCCAGCGGCGCGTGAGGGGGGTTGGGGGGGGAGGGAGGGGACGCAGGGTGAGAGGAGCACGGAGGGATTGGGAGAAGAGGCGGGCAGTGCGGGTTGATGGGAGAAGCGCCAGGGGTTGGGGGGGATAAAAAAAGGGGCGGCAGGGAGGGGAAAGTAAGTAAGTTTACTGGGAATTCTCAAAAAGACCCTGCAACGTCAGGGACAGAGGTTGGGAGGATAGAAAAAGGGGCGGCGGCGGTGAGGTGAGAGAGATAAGTGAAGAGAGAGAAGATAGGAAGGAGGTGGGAGAGGGGGGTGAGTGGAGCGAGGGGAGAGAGTGGGGATGGGGGAGTGAGTGGGAAGAGGGGAGTGAGTAGGGATAGGGGAGTGAGTGGGGATATGGGAGTGAGTGGGGATAGGGGAGTGAGTGAGGATAGGGGAGTGACTGGGGGGAGGGGAGTGACTGGGGGGAGGGAGTGAGTGGAGATAGGGGAGTGAGTGGGGAGAGGAGAGTGAGTGGGTATAGGGGAGTGAGTGGGGATGGGGAGTGATTGGGGACAAGGGAGTGAGTGGAGATAGGGGAGTGAGTGGGAATAGGTGAGTGAGTGGGGGTAGGGGAGTGAGTGGGGATAAGGGAGCGAGTAAGAGTGAAGACCTCCTGAATGTGATGAGTGAAAACAAACTCGACATTAACAGGGTGAGAAGTGTTTTTATCCCAAACCCGGTGATTTTCGAGTCTACTCCTGAGTTCCCAGCGCGGCGCGTGCATTCACACGCGTCGCGCGCACTCACACGCGGCGCGGCTCTCCTCCAGCGACCGGCCGTCGGCGCGGAGCCCGTCGTCGCCGATCACGCGCGCCAGCGACCCCGCCGCGCCCCGCCGCTTCAACGGCGGGTACGACAGCACGGCGGCGCGCCGCTGGTGCGCCAGCGCCATCGCTGCGAAGGCGCTGACTCAGTCAGAAGCGCGCGCCCTTTTAGAGGCGTGGCGATCGCAAACTGCGGGAAGCGCGACGTGGTAAGCGTGGGTCGGCACTACACTTAGGACGCAAGGTTGGGTAGTGGTAAAGGTTCTCTTTGCTGCTCGGAGCTGGGTAGCGCAATCGCGGCTGAGATACGACGGAACACACGGGATGAAAGGGGCGAGAACATCCGAGAAAAGGTGACGCTTTATGTCGTAGAGTTGCAGATACTACTCTAGACATATTGAACCACCTAGAAACGAATAGCATATATTTAGGTTGTGTATCAACATGATTAACTAGGAAAAATACACCTTTCCAGACTTTAATTGCGTAGGAATCTCACAACCGTCCATGTGTATACGAATTACACTATTTAAAGCTATAAGGTGTCATGAGACAATTGTTTCCTGCATTAGAGAGGGGAGGCTTGTGATGAAATGGGGACGTATGCGCACAATAGTGGTAACGGACAGAAGTTTTTTATGCAAAAAACTATATCGGTGTTAAAACAGCACCTCACAGCTCAATAGCAGCAATGCTTCACCCTCTATCGCAACGACGCCGCCTTCGCGAAGGATCTACGACAATTAGAACTCTCCAGTCTACACGTGGATGGATTTTGCAACACGTGGCACGCGCCTTGCTGCGCTGTGCTCCGTCCGCCTCCCCCGTCTGCTTGTTTGCTGCGCGGATGCGCACGGTAATGCGTGAGGCGCAAGCGAACGAACCGAATTCTCTCTGTTACTTCATCCCTCCCGCTTTTCGTGAGCACTATATATTTCGCCTTCCCACGTCAGATCTGTGTTCTCTGACAAGCTGCTCCATTCCAATTTTCCTGTACCGCAAACAAATCTTGCTCTCCACAACGTTTCCCAGTCTTTCCATACATGTGCGCAGCCACTCTCGTGCGTCTTGCCAACCGCACTGTGCCTCGCGTTATGGATACCGTCGCCGCTCGTCTCGCCGCCCCACGGCAGGTGGCGCCGGCAGCAGCGCTTCGCCCGCATCCTCGCCGCACTCCCGTCGCGACTCTTCATTCTCTTCCCCGTGTCGGCCCGCAGCTACTGGCACGCTGCCACGTGTCGCCGTCTGCGTCGCTTGCCGTTCGCACGGCATCGTCTGGCTCCTCTACTCAGTTGTCGTCGGATTTCATCAACTCGCAGCTGCGACACTTTAATGGGCGACCCCTTTCGTCAGCCCTAGTCCAATCGCCAGGAGTGGCGCCTCGACGGCGGTTCCACCGCTCTGCACCATGCCGTGCTGCCGCCAGCGGAGGCAGGGTGAGACCATGAGCACAGTTTAGGATAGGGAGTTTGGAAAGATTAGGGTTCAGCAGGCTGTGAGATACCCCGTGCTTTTATTCCGTCACTCCTGTGCCTGCGCGTGACGTGCTTTTTTCCAAGTCGTTTTGTTTCTATGCGTTTATCTTCTCATCCATTTTGTTATGCAGCGCTGGTTTGCGTTGCGCTGTTCGATGCGCACCTTCATCCATCCGCGCCTCCACACTCTCCCCACACATGCTGACGTCTTCCCCTCTTCCTGTCCCCCTCACCCGCCTTCCGCTTCACACTCTTGCGCGCGCAGATCAGCCAGGGCGAGTTCACGGAGGCGGCGTGGCAGGTGATAATCGCGTCGCCGGAGGTGGCGAAGGAGAGCCGGCAGCAGATCGTGGAGACGGAGCACCTCATGAAGGCGCTGCTGCAGCAGCGCAACGGCCTCGCGCGCCGCATCCTCGCCAAGGCCGGCAGCGACGGCACGGAGCTGCTCTCCGCCACCGACCGCTACATCGCGCGCCAACCCAAGGTGCGTTGTTTTTCCAAGGTGGGTGCGTCGTGAGTCGTGCGTCGCTGGCGTCCAAAGGTCCGTCGAGCTGATAGAGTTTCGAGTCGTCTCGCACACTCTCCCCCTCTTCCCTCAACCTCTCCGTGGTTCCCTTTCCCTCCTCCCCTCCCCACCCCCTCCCTCCCCCCCGTCTCCGCGCAGGTGTCGGGCGACTCGAGTCAGATGCTGGGGCGCGATCTGGAGGCGCTGATAGAGCGCGCGCGGGGGTTCAAGGCGAGCATGGGCGACGAGTTCGTGTCCATTGAGCACCTGCTGCTCGCCTTCGTCGGCGACAGGCGCTTCGGCGAAAAGGCGCTGCGCGACGCGGGGCTGTCGCAGGCGGCGCTGGAGAAGGCCGTCGCTGAAGTGCGCGGCTCGCAGAAGGTCACCGACCAGCGTGAGTTACCGCACCGCACCGCACCGCAGGGGACCGCAATGAACTAAACCGATTAGCACTAATGGCTGCACCGCATCACACTGCACTGCACCACAGAATCGATTGTACAGGAGGCCATTTTTGAGCCTATCCAGAGGACTTCTCCTTGCAGTTGCAGTCCCCGGTCACCATTCCCTTCCCCTTTCGCCGTCCCCGTCAACCCCCTTCTCCCCATTCCCCGCGCCCCCCACCCCCCTGCCGTTCACACGCGCTCCATTGGCGCGTGCAGAGTGGAGAACAAGTACGAGGCGCTGGAGCACGAGGCGCTGGAGCACCTGACGGAAATGGCGCGGTAGGGCAAGCTTGTAGGACGCTGTATCCTTATCCCTTCCCCCCCCCCTTCCCCTTGTCTTCCTCCCCCCCACAGAGCCGGAGAACAAGTACGAGGCGCTGGAGCGGTACGGGCGCGATTTGACGGAGATGGCGCGGCAGGGCAAGCTGGACCCCGTGGTGGGGCGCGACGACGAGATCCGCCGCGCCATCCAGATCCTCTCGCGCCGCACCAAGAACAACCCCGTGCTCATTGGCGAGCCTGGCGTTGGCAAGACTGCTATTTCTGAAGGGTGAGAGACTTATGGGGCGAGGGGTGGCGGTGGGTGGCGGGTGAGGGGTGGGGAGTTGACCCGTCACGCTGCTGCTATTCCTCTTGGTGTCGCCGCTCCCACCATGCGCTAGCTATCCAACGGTTATGCCGCCACATTGCATCAAGTGTGTCGTGCGTGCACAGTGCGCCCCACTCGCTCCCACTCTCTTCCACAAGGCCGCACTCAACACGCACCTCCTGCATCTCTCTTCCGCAGGGCCGCACTCAACACGCACCTCGTGCATCTCTCTCCCCCTCCCACGGCCCACAACCCTGTCCGCCCCGTCTTCCCACGGCAGCTTGGCGCAGCGCATAGTGCAGGGCGACGTGCCAGAGGCGCTCATCAACCGCAAGGTGAGAGTCACCAGCGCCACACACGCCACACCCGCCACACACGCCACACACGCCACACCCGCCACACACGCTCCTCCAAGCCCCTCTGCATGCCTGCTTGCCTCCATGCATGCATGCACCTTATTGGGTACCTCTCGGGTGCCTAGCCCGTTGCTTTCCATTCCACCTCTCGGGTGCCTAGCCCGTTGGTTTCCATTCCACCTCCTTTTACCACCGCTCCATGTGTACTGGGGGCCGTACAACATCACCCTACTGCTCCCACCCATTCCGCCTTTCTCTCCACCATCTCCCTTCCCGACTTTCAGCCCTCATCCCTTCCTAACCCCTCCGCCCCCGCTTTCTCTCCTCCTCTCTCCTCGACTCCCCCGGGCCCTTCCTGTGCCCCTCCCCCCATGCGCCACCCCCTGTGCAGCTGATATCGCTGGACATGGGCGCGCTGATAGCGGGCGCCAAGTTCCTTTTACACCCAGTCAAACGCTCACCCTTCTTTCCGCTTTCCCCGCCCCCCTGCTGCGCCCCTCCGCCGATGCGCGCACGCGGTGCAGCTGATATCGCTGGACATGGGCGCGCTGATAGCGGGCGCCAAGTTCCGGGGGGAGTTTGAGGACCGGCTGAAGGCGGTGCTCAAGAAGGTCACTGCCCTCACGATAACCTCCACATCTCTTTATTACTCACTAAACCTCCCCCCTTCTCTCCCCATTTTCCCCTCCGCAGCTGATATCCTTGGACATGGGAGCGCTGATAGCGGGCGCCAAGTTCCGGGGGGAGTTTGAGGACCGGCTGAAGGCGGTGCTCAAGGAGGTCACTGACAGCAACGGCGGCATTGTGCTCTTCATCGACGAGATCCACACCGTTGTGGGCGCTGGTGAGTGCATGGGAGCGGGTGAGATGAGTGAGTAGATGGATGAGAGAGTGAGTGGGCATCATGCTCTTCATCGACGAGATCCACACCGTTGTGGGCGCTGGTGAGTGCATGGGAGCGGGTGAGATGAGTGAGTAGATGGATGAGAGAGTGAGTGGGCATCATGCTCTTCATCGACGAGATCCACACCGTTGTGGGCGCTGGTGAGTGCATGGGAGCGGGTGAGATGAGTGAGTAGATGGATGAGAGAGTGAGTGGCATCGTGCTTTTCATCGACGAGATCCACACCGTTGTGGGCGCTGGTGATGCAGGGTGTTACTGAGAATTCTCCAAAACACCCTGAGATCGATGAGTAGATGGTTGAGTGGCGTCGTGCTCTCCATTGACGAGATCCACACCGTTGTTGGCGCGGGTAAGACCTCTTGTTGTCCTCACCTCCCCCTCCTCAATCCTCCCTCCTTGTATCCCCTCCTCACCTCCCTCTCCTCACCCCACCACCACCCCCCCACCCTCCCTTTCTCGTCACTTTCTCCTACCCCCGTCCCAGGAGCGAGCGAGGGAGCCATGGACGCGGGCAACCTGTTGAAGCCCATGCTGGGTCGCGGCGAGCTACGGTGCATCGGAGCCACGACGCTGGACGAGTACCGCAAGCACATAGAGAAGGACCCGGCGTTGGAGCGCCGCTTCCAGCAGGTGTACGTGGGGCAGCCGTCTGTGCCGGACACCGTCAGCATCCTGCGTGGGCTGAGGGAGCGCTACGAGCTGCACCACGGCGTGCGCATCAGTGACAACGCGCTCGTGGCTGCTGCGTCCCTGTCGGATCGCTACATCTCCGACCGCTTCCTGCCGGATAAAGGTATGCACGAGGGTTTTCTGGGACTGCTGTGTGGGAATGGTTGGTTCTTGGAAAGTTTTGAGTTAGGGTGGTCGTCAGTGTGGGCATGGCGTTGTGTGTTACGTTGGATACGCGTGGGTAAGTTCTTGTGTTGCTAAGAATTGTACCTGGTTCTCTCCACTTATGAGTCGACTCAAAAGGTTCTCTCCACTTGTTCTCTCCACTTGTTCTCTCCACTTCCACTGTCGCAGGAGCATCAGATTCTTTTCCCCTTGTTCTTCCCTCCCCCTCTCTTCCCCTCTGTGCTCCCCCCCATCCCATCCTTCATCCATGACGCATGCAGCCATCGATTCGGTGGACGAGGCAGCAGCAGAGAATTTAAAGATGGAGATCACGAGCAAGCCCACTGCGCTAGACGACGAGTGGCATCAACACCTGCAGCTAGCAACACTCCCAGTTCTCCCCCTTCTCCCTCTCCGCTCCCTCCCAGTTCTCCCCCTTCTCCCTCTCCGCTCCCTCCCAGTTCTCCCCCTTCTCCCTCTCCGCTCCCTCCCAGTTCTCCCCCTTCTCCCTCTCCGCTCCCTCCCAGTTCTCCCCCTTCTCCCTCTCCGCTCCCTCCCAGTTCTCCCCCTTCTCCCTCTCCGCTCCCTCCCAGTTCTCCCCCTTCTCCCTCTCCGCTCCCTCCCAGTTCTCCCCCTTCTCCCTCTCCGCTCCCTCCCAGTTCTCCCCCTTCTCCCTCTCCGCTCCCTCCCCGTTCCCACATGCAGCCATCGACCTGGTGGACAAGGCAGCGGCGAAGATCAAGATGGAGATCACCAGCAAGCCCACTGCTTTGGATTGGTGGCATGGACACTAGTAGCTATCAACATTTTGACTGCTCCCCCGTCCCCCCACCTTCCCCTCCTGTCCCGATGCAGCCATTGATCTGGTGGACGAGGCAGCAGCGAAGATCAAGATGGAGATCACCAGCAAGCCCACTGCCTTGGACGAGGTGGATCGTGCCGTGCTCAAGCTCGAGATGGAACGCCTCTCCCTCGGCAACGACACCGACAGGTGCCCCCACTGCTTCACCCTCTTGACTCTGCTCTTGATAGTGTTGGCTCTTTTGAACATGTTGGCACTTGTGACGACTATCAGTGTGTTGCTTGACGCCACCCACATCGATGCAATGCAAGCACACCTCTCTCTAGCCTTCAACCTGTGCCATTGCCTGTCCCTCGCCCCCCATCCCCTCCGCATTCCCACTTCACCCAGGCTGTCACGGGAGCGGTACGAGCGGCTGGAGAACGAGCTCAAGGTCCTCAAGTCCCGCCAGGCGGAGCTCACCGAGCAGTGGGAGCGCGAGAAGAGCGTGATGTCGCGCATCCAGAGCATCAAGGAGGAGGTGGACCGCGTGAACGTGGAGATCGGGCAGGCCTAGCGCGACTACGACCTCAACCATCCGTTGCTCTCTACTTACAGGCTACTGCTTTCCACACCATCCCCTCCCCATCCCCCCTCCCCCTTCCTCCGCAGGCTGTCCCGCGAGCGGTACGAGCGGCTGGAGAACGAGCTGAAGGTCCTCAAGTCCCGCCAAGCCGAGCTCACGGAGCAGTGGGAGCGGGAGAAATCGGTGATGTCGCGCATCCAGAGCATCAAGGAGGAGGTGGACCGCGTGAACGTGGAGATCGGTCAAGCCGAGCGCGACTACGACCTCAACCGCGCGGCGGAGCTCAAGTACGGCAACCTCATCTCGCTGGAGAAGCAGCTGTCGGACGCCGTGGCGGCGCTGAACGAGTACCAGCAGTCGGGCAAGTCCATGCTGCGCGAGGAGGTCACCAGCAGCGACATCGCGGAGGTGGTGGCCAAGTGGACGGGCATTCCCGTGGACAAGTTACAGGAGTCGGAGAGGGAGAAGCTGCTCAAGCTGGATGATGAGCTGCACAAGAGGCTCATTGGCCAGGAGACGGCGGTGACTGCTGTGGCGGAGGCCATTCAGCGGTCCAGGGCTGGACTGTCGGACCCCAACCGCCCGATCGCCAGCTTCATGTTCATGGGACCCACCGGTGAGTTGCTTCACAGCGTCATTCTGAAATAGCCGCTTTCTCTCTTCATCCCCGTCTTGTCTTTTTTCCGCATGCTTACCTCACCTTACCATTCCTCTCCCCCCCAATCTCTCCTCCTCTCTCCCTCTCTCCTCTCCTTCTCCCCCTCCCCCCCCCTCCCAGGTGTGGGTAAAACCGAGCTGGCCAAGTCCCTCGTGGCATTCCTGTTTGACAGCGAGGAGGCGTTGGTGCGCATCGACATGAGCGAGGAGTGCATGGAGAAGCACTCCGTGTCGCGCCTCATCACACCCCCTCTCTTCCATCCCCGCCTTTCTCCCACGTCCCCCTTATGCTCCCCCAGGTGTGGGAAAGACGGAGCTGGCCAAATCTCTCGCTGCGTTCCTCTTCGACAGCGAGGAGGCGTTGGTGCGCATCGACATGAGCGAGTACATGGAGAAGCACTCCGTGTCGCGCCTCATCGGAGCGCCCCCGGGCTACGTGGGGTACGAGGAGGGCGGGCAGCTGACGGAGGCGGTGCGGCGGCGGCCGTACTCCGTGGTGCTGTTTGACGAGGTGGAGAAGGCGCACGGGGACGTCTTCAACGTCTTCCTGCAGGTGCGTCCTCGCTGTCCTTGACTTTGTGTGTGCTATTCTATGCCTTGCTGGTGTGCTGCCGTGCCTCCTGGCTGCTGCTCCTGCCATCCTCGCCTCCTCACGCCAAACTCTTTCCTTCGCACCTTCCTCCCTTTTCTACTACTATCTGCATGGCAGGTTTTGGACGACGGGCGCGTGACGGACAGCCAGGGCCGCACAGTGTCATTCCGCAACACGGTGATCATCATGACGTCCAACGTGGGCTCGCAGTACATCCTGCAAGCACTCGACCACCAGACCGCTGACAAGGACGTGCAGTACCAGGTGCGTGTTCTCTGCTGTGGCGGTGGGTGTTCACTGCCATCTGCTGCCTTGCGAATGCTCTCATGTGGACGTTTTCTTCTGTGGCTTCCATGCTGCTTCCTTAATTGTCTTTCCTTCGTCTCACCCACCCACCTCCCACCCAACCCCAACCCCAACCCCAACCCCAACCCGAATCCCCCTCACCTCCTGTCACCCCCACGCAGGTTCGTAGGAGCGTGTGATTGAATCAGCATGGACCATCTTCCGTCCCGAGCTCATGAGCCACATTGACGACTTTTTTGTCCTCCACTCCCCACGCACTATGCTCCCTTTTGCTGATTCAACTCCTGCCTCCTCTTCCTTCTCGCCGCCCACAGGTGATGAAGGAGCGCGTGATGGATTCAGCGCGTTCCATCTTCCGCCCCGAGTTCATGAACCGCATCGACGACTTCATCGTCTTCCAGTCGCTCGACGCCGCGCAGATCACGCGCATCGTGCGCCTGCAGCTGGCGCGTGTGCAGCACCGCCTCAAAGACCGCAAGATCCGCCTGCAGGTCACCGACGCCGCCGTCGACCACCTGGGCCACCTCGGGTACGACCCGGCGTACGGTGCCCGCCCGGTGAAGCGGGTGATTCAGCATGAGGTGGAGAATGAGCTGGCTAAGGGGATTTTGAGGGGGGATTTTGGGGAGGATGATGTGGTGGTGGTTGATACGGAGATTGTGGTGGGGGGTGCTGGTGGGGTGCCGACGACCCGGCTTACGTTTAAGGCGGAGCATGGTGGGGCGTCCAGTGGTGGGGAGAGTGATGCTGAGGCCAAAGAGCAGGCCAAGAGCTTGTTTGCTTAGGTTGGGGTGTGCAGGCAAGACTTGTTTTAGAGTTATAGCAGATTGATCATCTGAACTGTATGTACTGGTGCAAGTGCTGAAATACTAGTCAACAGACGTGGCATGTACATGTGCTAGGTTCTACTATTTCCAGGTGCTAATTATTTTGTATATGGATTTAGCCTATTTCGTCTAAAGCGGTTTCCGCTACACTCAATCAACAGAATTCCCCGCATGATATCGGGTGACCTCTTGGGAGCTGTGCTTGAGCATCCCTAGATTTTGGTGCTATGTTCTGGTTCTGCGTTTTGAGCCCCGTATCGCGAGTCACGACCTTGAGAGTCCTTGGGTTTGTTTCTATGTGGATGGCAGGAGCTCTAGCTGGAAGAGCACCCTTGGGTGAAAGTTTCGGGATTAGATCGAGTCGCGACCTTGAGATGTTTTTTGTAATGGCTCGACTCGAAGCACCTGAGTGGAAACGGAGTGAATCAAGCAGATTCATTTCCGGTTTGCAGCAGCCAGGAGCCTGGAAGAGCGAGAGATTCGCACAACCTTCCGCTTTGGACAACTCCTGTCCGCTTCGGCATTCGCCATGGCCATTCAGAAAAAAGTCGATCCTTCGCGTAGCGGAGCATCGAGAAGCAACCCTATTCTGCTTGATTCCGCCTCTGCATCTGATGATCCGTTGATAACGACAGATGGCGAAGCGGACGGCTGGCGGATATTGTTTTGGGCCAAACCAGGGGACCGCGAAGGTGCTTGCTTGCCGTCGCCACAGCCATTTATATCGTCCACTTTCCAGTCCTTCCACTCTCCGCACGCCCTCATCCAGCACCGCTGCGCCGGCTGTCGTTCCGCCATTGCCGACGGTTCCGTTGCTGCTGCTTATGGCGCCTTACGCGATAGTACCAGCGCCGACGATCCTTGGGGACATGCCGCTGTGCTGCGAGCTTTTATCGAGCGCAACGGACGGACAACCACGCAAGCAGTGGAGGAAGGACAGCCGTGTGAGGACAGCGCGATGGAGCTGTGCGTGTGTGTGCGTGAGGCAGCACGTGACGGGCAGGGCCCGTCGTGGTCGTCGGGACGACTGCAGCTGGCATCAGTGGCCGCGGAGGACGTCATGCTGCACATAGTGCGGCTGCGGGGACGGGGAGCGCGGAACGGGAAGGCTGATGAATGGATGGGAGGCGAGGGTGAGGGAGAGGGGAAGGCGGGGATAGTTGTGTCGGCGAGGGCGTCAGACATAAGGGAGCTGCACCATCCGTCTGCTGTGCAGGCCCTCCTGCACCTCGCGCAGAGGGGCCTCGTTACTGTCACCCCCCTCGGCATTGATGCACCCCGTGGAGTTACCCACGCGCAACACATCACCCGGCCACTTGAGGAGCGCGCCGCTGGCTCTGTGCGCATTCTGCTGGGCATCCCCAGCAGGCTCGTCCCGGAGGTGCCGGTGGAGCAGATGTGCTTGCCTCTGCTCGCCCCTCTGCTGACTGAGTGGCGGAAATTCAGCCACACGCATCACATACGCGCGCTCATGAGCAGCCTTGCGCCAGATGCCGTGCTGCACCCCGGGCCTCATGGATGTGCAACTGTTTTGCCGTGCTCCTGCCATGCTGATGGAGCATTGTACGGCAACGTGGATGGCAGCATGGATGACGGATTGCCACGTGGTAGTGGCTTTGATTTCGACCAATTGTACCGAGCTGTGCGGCCCAGCAGGTGGGTCATGGCATTGCAGGTGAGTGGTAAGGTGGCTTGGTTGCGGATGCATCTAACAGGGTTCCATACTCTGCAGGGTGGCCTCGTTGACTTATGCTCTTCTCGTCCTTGCCTTCCGTTACTTTCTCGTGTCTCAAATACTGATACGTAACCGACGTATATTCAGTAATCCATTCACGATAGCAACTAGTATTTTGCGACCAGTCACGTGACCTCCACGCCTCTCACTTCCACTGCTCTGCACCATTCGTTCAACCATTCGCCAAGTGCAACCCCAATGCCGCTGGTTTCTTGTCACATGCATGTTCGTAGCATTGTGCTCTCAACAGCTATTGCATCCATCCATCCCTGTGCTGCTGTGCACCCGCCTCGTGCTGCTTGCAGGCACCTTCCGTCCCTTGACTCGAGCCCACCCAACCTGCTGCCTCCTCTGAGGCCGTACCAGAGCAGAGCTGTGGCGTGGATGGTGCAGCGCGAGCGGGGCGAGCAGGGGGGATGCGGGGATGGAAGGCGTGGCGAATGGTGGACGGAAGTGCAGCATCCCTTGTGGCGGCAAGTGGCAGCAGAGAAAAGCCATCCTGACGTCACTCTGCACTACAATCCTATCCAGTGGGTATCTGTCCATCAAGTGTATTCATACTCCCCCTGCACAGCCCCGCACATCACCTGTTGCTTTCCCCCCTCTTTTCACACCACAATTGTTGCTATTCCCCCTCTTTCCGTGCACCTGTTGCTATTCCCCCTCTTCCCTCCCCGCACCTGTTGCTATTCCCCCTCTACCCCCGCACCTGTTGCTATTCCCCCTCTACCCCCGCACCTGTTGCTATTCCCCCTCTACCCCCGCACCTGTTGCTATTCCCCCTCTACCCCCGCACCTGTTGCTATTCCCCCTCTTCCCCCGCACCTGTTGCTATTCCCCCTCTTTCCGCGCACCTGTTGCTATTCCCCCTCTCCCCCCGCACCTGTTGCTATTCCCCCTCTTCCCCCGCACCTGTTTCTATTCTCCCTCTTTCCGCGCACCTGTTGCTATTCCCCCTCTTTCCGCGCACCTGTTGCTATTCCCCCTTTCCACGCCATTGCCACTCAAGAGGGACCTGCGTTTTTCCTTTGGCGGCCCTTTCATGGCTCTGCTGACTTCTCATCTGCCTCCTCACCTTCATCCCCTTTCTTGTTCTCATGCCCAACCCCTTCCCCGCATTATGCTCTATCCCTGCCCATCCTCTTCCTCACTCCCTCCCTCCCACCACTTTGCCATGTGTCATCCAGAGGTACCTTTGTGCGCCTCCCTCTCTCCAGCTGCTGTTCTCATCCGGTCACCAATCACAGGGAAATGCGCGCAGCTTCGGCATGCACAGGTTCAAAGCATATTGGTTCAGCGCACGCAGGTTCGGCACATACAGGTTTGGCGAGCTCAAGCTTGGTCGGTGCAGGGTCAGTGAGTGGAGTGTGCGGGTGGGTGGGTGCGGTGGCAGGGGCAGTGAGAGGTGGCATTCTGGCCGAGGAGATGGGGCTGGGTAAGACCGTTGAGGTGCTTGCCTGCATCCTCGCCCACCGCTGGGAAGGCAGTGGGAAGGGAGAGACGGAGGCAGGGGTCATTGGGAAGAGGACTAAAGGCGCGGAAAAAGGACAGTCTGAACAGTGCAGTGAGAGGGGGAAGAAAGGCGAGAAGGGAGAGGATGGCGAGAAGGGGGGCGAGGGGAGCAGGAAGAAGAGGAAAGGGACGATGAGGATGGCAGCACAAAAAAGCAAGGGGCGCGGCGGTGGTGTTGAGGTGGTGAAGGGCGAGCAAGGAGAGGCCATGAATGGCGGGGAGGAGGGGGAGGAGGGGCGAGTGGTGACGCCGTGTGGGAGCACGCTCATCGTGTGTCCGGCGGCCATTCTTCCTCAGTGGCGAGACGAGGTCTTGCGGTATGTGAAGGGCAAGCCCTGGGCATTGGGCACCTTCTTTGTTATGCTGCTTGCTGCCTTTGCTACCTTAATATCGCTTCGGCCAACCCCTCTTAGTGTCTTTTCTTTTATTTTTTCTTCAAACCTTCCGTATCGTTCAGTATGAATGGCAGGTACAGCAAGCACAGTTGGCTGTGTGAGGATGGTGAGGGACAGGCCTGGCCAGGCTACTTGGGAGACTACGCTTTGCACGCGTTCAGTTCCTTGTCTCTTGCACCGCCATATCACAATGCCGTGCATCGTCTGCCTCTCCACTCGCTCCTCCCTCCACCATGCACCCCATCCCCTTTCCCATCTCCCCATCTGCCAGCCACACCCGTGCAGGCACAGTGAGTGCGCTGGTGTATCAGGGCGTCAACAGCCCTGCCCTGCGCCTCGCCTTCCGCCCCTCCCCTGCCTCGCCTCTCACCTTCCCCCCCGACTCACCTCTCAGCATTTCCTCGCCTGCCTCCTCGGGTGATGAGGGGACAGACATGGCCTTTCGTGGAAGGGGGGGTGGTAAGGTGGGAGACGGGCGTGAGGGAGGGCGAGGAGGGGGTGGAAAGGGGAAGAGGCAGGTGGATTGGGGGGGAAGGGAGCGGCTAGATGTGGAGTGCAGCGAGGTGTGGGAGGAGGTGGATGAAGTCACGCCTCTTGATCTCGCAGCTGCTGATATCGTGCTGGTGTCATACGAAACACTTAGTGGCGACATCTGGCACGATGGGCCCGCAAGAGTGTTGCGGCATAAGAAGAGGTGAGGGGGAATGCATGGGGAGACGGAACAAGTTAGTAGCACAGAGAGCTCTGGATGCTGGGTGTGTGTAAGGGTGCCTTTATTCTAAGCTTGTAGGTGACAGGCAAGGCCAACAGCAAAACCAAGAGAGGAAGAGGTTGGCGCTACTGCCATGTCAGCCTACTGCCCTTTCCATACCTGCCTTGTGTGTCGGCAAGTTTTTTTTTTGTTCCCAGCTACCAGAAGCGCCCTATGCACCTGACTCGCTGCTCTGGTACCAAAATGCACATTTCATTGTCGCACCTTGCTACTACTCTGTCCCAGGTACGAGGCCCGCCCCACGCCCCTCACACGCCTGCACTGGTGGCGGGTGTGTCTGGACGAGGCGCAGCTGGTGGAGGGCGGAACCTCCAGAGCAGCAGTCATGGCGGCCCGCCTGTCCGCGCAGCACCGGTGGTGCGTGTCGGGCACTCCCATTCAGAAGGGCCTGCCGGACCTGCAGAGCTTGCTTCGGTTCCTCCGAGCCTCGCCGTTTGACCTGCCGCAGTGGTGGTGCGATTTTTTCGAGAAACCTATTGAGGTGAGCCTGCTGGGGTGTGGGACTTGGGCTGAGAAATTGGTGTGGGTCTCATGGGAACTGTGAGTGTGGTGACACTAGTCAATGGTCATCATGATGCAATGCAACTGGCACTTGATCGATATGGCCTCAGTCCTGTATCACTCTCGTTTTGGCATTTGGTCAATGTGGCTTCAGTCTTGGACCACTCTCACTGTGTCATCTGCACAGCTACTGGCTCGCTCACGGCTGTGCTTGTGATGTTCTGGACTTCTCGCTTCGACTTTGCTCTGATCTATTACAGTTGGCCCAAGGTATCCATCTCATCTGTTTGGTGTGCTGCCTCTGTTTCCTCCTCCCTGCCTGATGCCCACTCAAACTCTTGTATGCATCGAATCTCTCTCCTTCCTTTCCCCACCCCGCAACTGCCCTCGCCTAACGCCATGGCAGCATGGATGCGTGCCAGCGTGGCACTCCCTCCTGGCCCTCATGTCGCAGCTGATGTGGCGCCATAACAAGGTTGACGTGGCGGACGAGCTGGCGCTGCCACCTCAGCGGCAGCTGCTGACGGTGCTGCGGTTCAGCGCCATCGAGGCGCACTTCTACCGCCAGCAGCACGCCAAGTGCGCCCAGCGCGCGAAACACGTCCTCAGATTAGGGGAGCGAGGGGGAGGGAGGGCAGGACCGGGCAGAGGCGGAGCTGGGGATGGGGATGGAGAGGAGGAGGATCAGGGAGGGGAGCGGCAGCAGCAGCAGTCGCTGCGGTCGCTGCTGCCGTCGAGTGCGTGCCGTGCCGACCTCAACAGTTTCCTGGCGTCGCTGCTGCTGCTGCGCCAGGCCTGCTGCCACCCCCAGGTTGGCTCGGGCGGGCTACGGCGTTTGAACTCGGAGCGACCCATGCACATGGATGAAGTGCGGCAGGTGTGTCCCATGCACATGGATGAAGTGCGGCAGGTGTGTCCCATGCACATGGATGAAGTGCGGCAGGTGTGTCCCATGCACATGGATGAAGTGCGGCAGGTGTGTCCCATGCACATGGATGAAGTGCGGCAGGTGTGTCCCATGCACATGGATGAAGTGCGGCAGGTGTGTGTGCGGGAGGAGGGCATGTGAGCGGGCTGCTGTTGGAATGGATATGGGTGAAGTGCTGCAAGGGACGGAGAGAGAAGAAGTGAGAAGCAGGCATGTGGATTGTCAAGCAAGTTGGGTGAGGCTGCGGGGTTTGTGAGCCTTTTAGAATGGTGAGGGAGTTTGAGGCATGTGATGCGAATCGGAGAAATGGATCGCTGGCTGATCCGGTCCAGTCCCTTGTGCTTCCTTTGGTGTCCCACCCATTATCCATGAACCTCCTCACTGCAACTTTACCAGTTCTCATCCTTATTTGAAGACTGCCCCTTAATATGGCGACAATGTTTTCTGTGATTTACACCAAATCTTGTTCCTTGGCTTCCCTTTCAAATGCATGGTGTGACACATCACTGGCATGCCCCCAGGTGCTGTTGGAGAAGGCGCGGGTGGAGGCGGAGGAATCCCAGCGCCTCCTCATCTCCGCCCTCAACGGCCTCGCTGCCCTCGCCGCCATCCACGCTCCCACCCTCCCCCTCCTCTCCTCCTCCTCGCCCCCCTCCGCTGCTTCTCCCCACCACTCTTTTGAGAACATCGAGCAGTGGGGGACCGGGGCAGAGCAGGCAGTGGGGCTTTACCGCGATGCTTTGCGAGTCTTGGATGAAAATGAGGATGGGGCACAGCAAGTGAATGGCGATGGGGATGGGGATCGGGATGAAGATGAGGACGAGGGCGGTGTAGGTGGAGCGAGTGTGTCTCTCTCCGCGCCTCACTGCGCTCGCCAGCGCAACGCCCTCCTGCAGCGCCTGCACGTGCTGCACAACCTGCACTCGCTGCTCGCCCTGCTGCACTCCGCCAAGGGAGGAGGCCAGGGGCACGGTGGTGGAGCGCGGAGCAAGAAGGGGTGCAGTTCGGTGGAGTCAGATGGCAGTGGAGCAGGTGTGGTGGTTGCACGGACAGCGAGGGAGGAGAGGCTGGAAGGGGAGATGGAGGAGGTGATGCGGAGGTATGTGGCTCCTTACAGGGCGCGCGCTGCTGCTGCCAAGAAGGCCTTCGAGGATGTGCGCTCACAGGCGAGTCATGTGGGGGAGTGTGTGTGGTGGTGTGACCGTGGGAGTATGTGGGCACATGTGAGAGACTGTGGGTACATGTGAGAGACTGTGGGTACACGTGAGAGACTGTGGGTACATGTGAGAGACTGTGAGCACATGTGAGAGACTGTGGGTACATGTGAGAGACTGTGGGTACATGTGAGAGACTGTGGGTACATGTGAGAGAGTATGTGGGTCTGTGCTGGTCATATAGGGTGTCATTACGCCCATGCCAATTGGGTCGTTGCTCTCATCTCTATCATTGCAGCTCATGATGTCACTCGCATGGATGTCTGTATTTCAAACCCTCAACCCTCATGCCACTCGCATCTCTCTGCATGTGCATGTCACACACACATGTCTACATCCCGCACGTGCAGGTGGAAGCCCACGGGGCATCAGCTCTCCTCTCCACCTGCACCTCGCGGTCATGGCTCGCTCTCCTCGCAGCACTGCGGCCTTCCGTGCCCCCAGTGCGCACAGGCAGCATCATCACTCACTTGCAGCGCACGCTACTGGATGATGATAGCTGCAGCAGGCTAGAGACAATGAACATGGCCAGCCTTGCTCTCAGGTGCGCCGTGCTCTCAGGTGCGCCGTAAGATTGTTTGTCAGGGAACGGCTCGACTGTGGTGCTGGAAGCGTGCTTGCCTTGCACACTACTCTTTCCTGCACCTCCCTCAATAGTCCTCATTGCACCCCATGATCCGCCCTCTCCTCCCATCCCCTTGTCAGCTTCCCCACGCTGCACGGCCTGCTGGTTGCGCTGGGAGAGGAAGTGGCCAGGCTGATGGGAAGCAGGCAGGAAGTGCTGCAGCGAGTGGTGGACGCGGGCGGTAGGGTGGACGTTGAGGGCGTGGGGGGCAGTCTGGTGGCGCAGGCAGGCTCGTGTGGTCGCTGCAGTGCGGGGCAGGAGGAGAAGGGCGGGGCTGAGGATTATGAGGCTGAGGAGGGCGCGACTGAGGAGGGCGGGGATGAGGATGGAGGGGCTGAGGGTGTTTTGGCGAGTGGAGTGGTTGGTGCGAGGGGAGCAGATGGGGGGGAAGGCAGTGAGCTCTGCATGCTTTGCCAGGCGCAGGACGTGTTTGAGGTGAGATGGGTGTGCAATCAGACGGGCACCAGGATACAGGTGGGGGCGCAGGGAGGAGGGAGGTCGGAGCTCGCCTCATCCTTGTAGGCGTTTCTTTCTTTCACGACAGCCTCTCTCAAGCCCATTTCGCTGCTTCCTTATGGATCTGAAGTTCCCCATGCTTAATTGAGAATTCTCAAAAATTGCTTCCTCTGATGGATCTGAAGTCCTCCATGCTTAAATTCAACCCTTGTCATGCGGTTCTGCTCTGCTTCCCTGCTACTCTTTTGCAACCTTTGCTCCCCAACTCCTACTGGGCTTCTCCCTAGTACTACACTTTCAAACCCATACATATGTCTCCGATTTTCCACCATTCCATCTTCCCATGCCGATTCACCATCCCTGCATAACCACGACTCCACTCCACTCTCTCCCTGCCGTCCCACCACCCCATCCCACCCTGCCAGCGTTACGGCCGTCGTCTTATCCAGCTGCAACTCTCATCAGCCCCTCCATCCCTCGCCTCCTCCTCCCATCTCACTCAACCTCTCCACCCTACCTTCACGAGCTCTCCTGCTCCCTCTACATCTTGCGGCCCCATTTCCATCTCCCAATCGGCACTGGAAGTGCGCAATACCCCACAGGTTCCAGCCACAGCAGCAGGGTGGCAGGACGCGAAGGGGAGGGGCACCAGGGTCAGCAGGAGAGGGGGAAAGGGAGGTGCAGGGGAGGAAGAAGAGGGAGGAGCTTTGGTGGAGTGGAAACCAGCAGACACTGCAAGGTGTTTGGCCATTCTGCCTTGGGTGCTTGCATCACTGCCTGATGGCATCATTGGAGACGAGGACCGGGGCGTTCTGGGAGCTGCAGCATCCCACACTTTGGAAGCTTTGAAGGTCAGTCGAAAATGTGCCCAAATATTCCTTGTTATCCCTTTCTAAGATTCCGATGCTGTTTGTCCGTTCCGTTTGTGACACCAAGGCAGCATGGCATGAGCTCCGGGCCGGTCCAGCCCATGGCCCATGGCCCATGGCCTTCCGTTTATGTTGAGGCGGCCCAGTCTGTGCTAGTGCATTATCTTCTTTTCTGAGGGTTTGCCCGCCAAGCCCAGGCCGACCGGGTCGTGAGCGAACTGGTCACTGAAGGTGGGCGTGTACTTGGACGGGGTGAAACACGGCCCTGGTCGAGTGTGGAGATTAGAGGTTGATAGGGAATGTGTTAGAAATGTATGTATAGCATGCTAAGTATAAAAGGGGATGGTGCTACACCCAACTTTGGGTGTAGCTTGCTTTGTAGGTCTACACCAAACTTTGTGGTGTAGTAGAATGTAGCAAACGGGTGATGACAGAGCGCTTGGAGAATAGATCACATACGTCCATTCCCTGCACCCCTAATATTCCACTCTCCAGACCTCTATTACCATTCATTCTCTGACCTCTTCCCTTCACCACACCCTCTATCGTCTTCCCATCTCTACACCCCATGTCTTGGTTTATTCATTCACAACAGCTGCTAACATCCTCCCGTCTCTACATCCCCTACCATCGCCCATTATGTACAACCCCTATCATCCCCAGATCTCCACTCCTCTTATCATCGTCCCTTCCTCACAATCCCTATCATCGTCCATTCTGTACACGACCTATCATAATCTGCTTTCTATACCCCTCAAAATCATCAGTATTTTCTGCCTTCATCGCCCATATGTGCTCTTGTTCTCCCTCTACCGCCCTTTGCTATCACCCATCCTCTCACATCCGCCAGGCAATGCAGAACGAGTTCCGGTTGGCCCGAGCTTGGGCCAAGGCCCAGCGGGCTGTGCTGCGCGCATTGCACAGAGTGCAAGTAGCCGCCAAGCGCGCCTGCCCCTTGCGCCAAGTGGACGAATCACGTGCTGCCAGCTCACCAATGGACATGGCACGTACGCGGCTCACTAAGGAGAGGCCGGCAGCAAAGGCTCAGCTTGAGGATGCCCAGGGAAGGCTGAGGTTCCTGCGGTAGCTGTCGGAAGAGAGGAAGGCGGGGAAGGGGAAGCATGTGGCTGATGGGGTTGAGGAAGGGGAGGAAGTGGGAGGGAGTGGGGAGAAGGGGATGGGAGAAGGGGAAGAAGAAGAGATCTGTATGGTGTGCAGGGAGCCGTTTACGAACAAGTTCTCAGTCTTCCCATGCTTCCATGTGCTGTGCTGTGACTGTGAGTGACCTGCAGCATGTAAGGCCATGCTTTTTCATTTTGTTCAAGTCAAATAGTCCTCGTATGTTTGTGCTCTGTTCCAATAGATGTTTTTCTCCAGGTGTCTGTTTCTTACAAGTTGGCATGTGCGTTGGAATCGTTGCGATGAAGTATTTGTGAGCAATTCGTGAAACCCTTACTGCCTGAGCCTTGGTTGCCATGTCAACTCTTGTCATCTCACGGTGCCATCCCTCGCCATGTCATCTCGCTGTATCATCCCACCATGTCATCTCGCTGTATCATCCCACCATGTCATCTCACTGTGTCATCCCACCGTGTCATCTATCATCACCATCTCTCACCATGTCACTGTATCATCTGTCACAATGCCATCCCACTGTGTCACCTCTGCAGGCACACAGCTTCTGGTGGTCAGGGCCTCTTCAGTGCCTTCTGCAACCATTACCATCACGGGCAGTGCTGCTGGCAGCAGCAGCAGGGAGCCGCGAGTCCAGTGCCCCATGTGCCGCAGGGAGGCAGTAGCATCAGAGATACGAGACGTGGACAACACCACTCGCAGCGATCGCACAACCTTTTCCAGGCCCCCTGCTGCTAGTGCTGCTGCTGCTGCTAGTTCTGCTGCTGCTGGTGCGGATGCGAATCCGTGGCTGGATAAGGGTGCTGCAGGGAGGGAGGGAGAGGAGGAGATGGTGCCGGATAAGGTGCAGATGCAAGAGAAGGAGATGAGTCTCTGCACGGACTTTGGGACAAAGGTATGCCCTTATGTCAAACCCTGCGAAAGCTTCTCATATGTATCTCTTGTTTTTGTCCGTCCTGTCATCTTTCTTTCCATTCCAATTATCCCCACAAAATCTCGCGTTCATCCCTGCAGCTGGATGCAGTGACGCGCCGAGTGGGTCCTGTGCTCGGACCCATCGGCCAAAATCTTAGTGTTCAGCGCGTGGAGGGACATGCTAGTCCTCACCTATACTCTCAGCCTTTCCTACCACACCATTTGCTCCCTCTACCTTCATCTCAGTCCCATTCTTTCCATAGCACTCAGTTGCATCTGATTGCTCCCTTGAAGATTCCTCATGTACCACCAGTTCCTTGAGCCATTCCTTTCAACCCATGGAATTTCAACGCTTCTTTATTGCCCATCAACACTTCTCCTCGTCTTCCTCTCTCGTCTTCTGATTCAAACATGAAATTCACCACCCGGCATTCGTGCCTCCTCGTGCCTCTCCGACCAGGGAGGTGCCTTCTGCATTGGAGCGCTTCACATCATCTAATCGCCCGCCAGCCCAGTCAGCTAGTGGCAGTGGAGCGGGTGGGAGTCCAAGGTGCCGCGTGCTGCTGCTGGTTGTGGCGGTGGGGGGCAACGGGCTGAACGTGGTGGAGGCACAGCACGTGGTTTTTGTGGAGCCGGGGCTCAATGCGGCCGCCGAGGCGCAGGCTGCCAATCGCGTGCACCGCATCGGCCAGACCCGCCAGACCTTTGTGCACCGCTTCATTGTAAGCCGCCCTGTTTGTTGATAGCCTTCCAGTGAAATGTACGCAGCCAATGAGCATGTCTACAACATATGGTCCACTGTAAGGCGTTGGATTTTCATTTTCAGAATGTGTTAATTTTCAATGCGTGCAGGTGCAGGACACAGTGGAAGAATCCATCCATGCCCTTAACCGCTCCAAGACTTCTGCATCCCACCTCTCTACCTCGCGTGCCGCCAGCAAGGCATTCGCAAATGATCGCAACTCACTCACTTTGGAGGATGTCAGCACTTTATTCTCTCGAGGCTGATCCCCTGCAGCACCCAGGGAGGCAGGAGGAAATGTGATGCCCCTGGGCGGAAGACTTTGGGAGCTTACGATTGAATAACTCCAATGGATTAACGTGAACAAGTCTGGTGGTCCTTCCTTAGTCAGTGTTACGAGTGCAATTGAGTGATCGAACAAGAATTGCACTATCGAAGCAAGAGTACAATGAGCGAAGGCATAAGCGAAGAATATATAGCGAAACTACAGTGGTAACGGTAATGCGTGAAAATGGGGTGCGCGACGGGCCTGGCGCTGAGGTTGGGAAATGCCGAGGCGGAGGTCCGGAGCGCGGGTTACCAACCGAACAGTGAGGTTGGGTCGCGTCGTGAACAGTGGCGGGAACAGTGTCGAGGCGAATGTCGCGAGTGGTAACGGTTTACTGTTGGGTGCTGTTGGCGGGAACAGTGGTGTACGCGCTGAGCAGGGACGCGAAGTAAGGAAAAGGAATTTCCCTTACAGTCAGTAAGATGCTCTCGTACATGATGAACCGCACACAAGATGAAAGAAATGTACCATCAATCATGTTGAATATCAGATAAACCAATCAGATCGAAGTGCCATCTTACAAAAATTTATCAAACATGTACCGTACAATATTCTATTCATTCTCGATAGCATGAAAGAGTAATTAGAAGACAAAGTTACGCTTTAGTCTTCTTCGTTGAAATCAGCAGACGATTTTTTGTCTCGTTATGCGCGGGTTAGGCGTGAGTGCGTGTGGCGATGACGTGTTTTCGTAAGGCGTCTAGACGTAGTTCTAGGCGTCTAGACGTAAGTTTAGGCGTCTAGACGCTATTGAAGACGTCCAGACAAGCATTATTGTATTTGCTCTAGGCGTCTAGTTGTCGTTTCTACAGGCTTCCATACGTTACTTGAGGCGTCGAAGACGTCACTTGAAACATTCAGACGCCTTTACCAGGGTCTCAGAAAGGCTGGGATGGGCAAGAGGAACAAAGGGCGGGGCGGACAGCGGAACCAGCAGCCCGCTCAGCAACGCCAGGTGCTGCCGCAGCCGCAGTGTCAGCAGCAGGCGCAGCAAGGGGAGGCGGACGGAAAGGCGGAGGATGGGAAGAGGGAGGATTCCGCGAGCGGCGCTGCGCAGAACGCGTCGCAGCAGCAAGGCTGCGGTGAAGATGGGGTTGTGGCGGCCGTGCTAGTCCCTGTTGAAGCCAACTCGCCAAGCAACGTGCCCGTGGCAGGTAATGTTGCGACCGAGTGCCGCTGGGGCCTTATAACGCGGATAGGCTTGGCGCCCTACGCTTGTCATGGGTTACAGACTGGCTTCACTGTTTCAATTCCAGGCAACCATGGTGTCGCCTGATGGAGACTTGTGAACATATGCAGTAGTATCGCATTGCATCCTTGCATCCTCGGGTTGCTGTCGATTACTCTGTCACAACCGTACCACTCCCGTTCGTTCCTTCCGCCATCACCTGCCAACACCACGCGTCCCTGCATGCACATGACATGTCACCACACAGCAGCTCTCCGGGGGTGCAACGAGGAGGGCATGGGGGGTGAAGACGCGGTGGCGGGGGGCAGTGGTGGTGAGGGAGTGATGGAGGGCGTGGCGTGGCAGTGGCGGCAGCTGCAGGCCAGCATGGCGCAGCAGATCGAGTAAGTGCCGTTGCTGGCTGGTGTGGTGTGGCGTGACGCGGTGAGTTGTGAGTCGACTGAAAAGTCACCTCGCAGCAGATTGAGTAAGCCCCGTGGCTGGTGTGGTGTGGCTTGGCATAGCATGAGCCTCGTCGCCATGCATGGAGCCCCTCAAACACGTTTTGACTTCAAGGTGATATGGTGGTTCATGCACAAATTCGCTCCATGGGGCCTGGTGTGCATTAACCATCATCTGATTTGTTGGAAATATGACCTTCTTAGCGCACCTTTATTTTATCTACGGCTCATGGAGGCTGCATATGTGTGTGTGTGTGTGCGTGTGTGTGCGTGCGCGCGCGCGTGTATGTGTGTGTGGTCCCCCATGTCCTTTACCCCGTTCTCCGCCCTGCTCGCAGCACCATGGCGGCACAGCAAGCAGCGGTGGCAGCCAGAGAGGCAGCCGCGGGGGAGAGGGAGGAAGGGGTGACGCAGAGGGAGGAGCGAGTGAGGGCGAGGGAGGAGAGGGTGAAGGAGAGGGAGGAGAAAGTGAGGGTGCGGGAGGAGAAGGTGAGGGCGCAAGAGGTGGAGTGGCAGAAGCAGAGAGGCACGGCTGCTGTGGCTGCCACGATTTCTGGTGGCGGAAAAGTGGCTTCACAGGCGAAGGTGAGCAAGAGACAGAGCGTGAGAAAAGCACGGTCCGATATTGAGAAGATATGGGCGAGCAGGGCATGTTGCAGGAGGGAGCAAAGTTCCCAAAACACCTGTGCTTCTTTTTTCACAAACTGTCGCCGTCTTGCTGTCCCTGACCTCTTCTGTCGTTTTGTCAACTTGCGAAAGGCTTGCATGCACGGTGATAGTTTTGCTCTCCTTTCCCTCCATTTCCCTCCCTCCCGTCCCTTCCCCTCCCCTTCCATGCCTTCCCCGTCCCTCCGTACCATCCCAGATGGCTGATCTGTGCCGCAGGGAGAAGCAGCTACAGGCAAACCAGGTGAGGGATGTGCAGAGGAAGGGTAAGGCTGGTGAGCAATGCGAGCTTGGTTGAGGGGGCAAGAGGCCAGTTGCGGGGGCATTTCAAGGCAAGATGCACACGTGCCTATCGATGAGAGTAAGCACCACTTGCAATTGGAAGTGCTTTCCTTGATCAACCATGCACACTTCCCTTGAGTCGGTAGAAGCTTCGACTGCCTACAGAGTTCCTGGCCCAATCTATAACTCCTTCACCTGCAGCAACTTGTCGATTCATAAGTTGCTGCTAACATTTCCGTTACAAGGATGAACCTTAATCGACTCACATTGGTTTGCCATACCAAACGAATTCCTGTATCTATCCCCCACGTTTTTCCACATCATCATACCAAACGAGCTTCTCCTATATGTGTCCCATCCACAAGTTGACGCATTCAACCCCCTTGCACCCATCTTGCTCATCTTGCTCAACCTACCTCTGAAACTGGAACCACCCAGGCAGCGGTGGCGGCGCAGCAGAGGCAGGTGTTTGAGGTGGAGCGGGAGCTGGCGGGGCGGGAGAGGGCTCTGCAGCAGGCCTGGGCTCAGCACCGCCTGCACCTGCAGACCATTGGGTGGACTGCGGCACAAGGGGGCGGGGCGCAGGGGCAGGCGCAGGGGCAGGGGCAGGGGCAGGGGCAGGGGCAGGGGCAGGGGCAAGGGCAGGGGCAGGGGCAGGGGCAGGGGCAGGGGCAGGGGCAGGGGGGACAGGGATTGCAACAAGAGAAGGAACAAGGGGGCGAAGTAACGGTTGTAGGTGCGCCTGTGGCTGCTGGCTCGACTGGAAGGAAAGGGGAAGGGGGAGGAGGTGATGGGGCATCGGATGTGGGAAGGCAGAAGAGCAGTGAGGGGCTTGTGGGACTGCAAGAGGGGGGAGGCAGTGGAGGGGACAGGGATGTGGGTGCAGGGAGTGGTGATTTGAGCTTAGATGATGCTGACGGTGCTTTTGCTGCTACTAGTGCTGCTGGTGTTGCTGGTGCTGCTGGTGCTGCTGGTGCTGCTGGTGGTACTGGTGCTGCTGGTGGTACTGGTGCTGCTGATGCTGCTGGTGCTGCTGGTGCTGCCAGTGCTGCTGGCTTGGAGGGGGGCGGGGAGGGAGGGGCGAGAGCAGAGATGGTGGGGGCAAGAGAGGGGAAGTCGGGAAGGGAGGGGGAAAAGGTGGAGGAGAGGCGAGGGTTGGCTGGGAAAGGGGAGCAGCAGGTGGGAAAAAAAGGGACAGAAATGGAGGGGGAAGATGATGCAGGTGGTGCTGCGGAGGAAAGAGACGAGGAGCAGCAAAAGGTTGAGGAGGTTGGCATGGAGTCAGACGCAGGAGGAGGGAGGGATGCAGTGAGGGATGGCAATGAGGGTGTGGGAGGCCCCAGGGGGGCCGCAGAGGCAGAGAAAGAAATAGAGGAGGAGATGAGGTTGGGAGGTCAGGATAGGGCTGTGACGGGGGGTGGAGGAGCGGTGCAAGAGAAGGGGTCTAAAGAGGGGGCGATGGAGGGAGAGGGGAGGGACGGAAACGAGGCACGGGTTTTTGTGAACGTGAGAGAGGAGGCTGAGGGAGGAGGCGAGGGGGAGCAGCAGGGAGAGGAAGAGGTGTTGCGAGAGGGGAACAGGGGGAGAGGGGGGGTTGGGTCATGGGGACAAGGGGGAGCAGAGGTTTGGGGAACTGGACAAGGATTGGACAGGGAAGGAAGGGAAGGGGGAGAATGGGGATTGGGAAAGGGAGTATCGAACAGAGTAAAAGAGGAGAGATGGGCGGAGGGAGAGAAGGCCGAGTTGAGAGAAAGATTTGAGGAGGGATGGGGTGGGGGAGGGGAAGGTGCATGGGGAAGCGAACAAGAGGAGGAATTAGGAGGTGAGAGAAAAAGATGGAGAGGGGAAGGAGGAGGATGGGGAGTGGATGGGGAGGGGATGTCAGGAGGAGCGAGCGAGAGTGGATGGGGGCGAGGAGGTGGGGAGAATCAGTGGGGCAGGGAAGGGAGCGAAGAGGGATGGGCAAGGGGGTATGGTTCGTGTGCACAGGGGAGGTCAGGATGGGGCATGGGGGAGAGTAGTTTGGCTCAGGGGAGGGGTGAGGAGCAGCAGAAGGGGGAGCAGCAGAAGGGGGAGCAGCAGAAGGGGGAGCAGCAGAAGGGGGAGCAGCAGGGCGAGGATGGGTGGGAGGGGGGTGCGGACGCGGGAAGGCCAGGGGAGAATGGGAGGAAGAAGAGGAGGGCCAAGGCGAAGAGGCAGAGGCAGGAGCAGCTGCTCACGTGTGGACTCAACTGGGGTCGTGCAAGCGCAAGCGGGCAAGGCGAGGTGTTCACGGGGGGTCATGCTCCCGGCCCTCCTCCTCCTGCTCCTGACGCTCCCCCTCCTGCTCCTGGCGCTGCTGATAATTCCCCCCTTGCGCTGCCAGCTCCCCTTCCTGCAGCATCAGTGTTGCCAGTTGGCCGTGCGAGGGACGCGGGAGAGGGGGAAGGAGCAAGGGCGGAGTCATGTGGGCAGGCGGGAGGGCACCAAGTTGGGGGGGGTCAGAGGAGGCCGAAGCAGGAGGAGGAGGAGTGGGAAGGGTTGGGAATGGGCGTGCAGGGTGATGGTGATACTGGGAGCATGCTGCTGAACTATAGTGCTGCTGCTGAGCCAGGAGCCTCTGGACCAGCAGCAGCAACAACGGGAGCAGAAGTGAAGGTCGAAGCAGTGGTGACTGCAGAAGCAGGCACAGCACAGGCAGCAGCAGCAGAGGCAGGTGCAGACGTGGCAGCAGGTGTGGGGACGGGCGCGCAAGAGTGCAGGGTGGCAGTGAAAATGGAGGCAGTGGGTGGAGATGCAGAGATGCAGGGAGGAGGCCGTGAGGGCTGGACGTGGGATGGGTGTGGTGGAGGTGTGGCGGGAACAAGGCAAGGATTGGGAGGTGCGATGGATGAAGGACAAGGGGGCTATGACGAACAGAAGCAGGATCAGGGGCAGGGGCAGGGGCAGGGGCAGGAACAGGGACAGGGGAAGGGGGCAGCGTGGAGAAGGAAGCAGAAGAGAAAGAGGAAGGCAGCTGCCAAGGCAGCAGCAGCGGAAGCAGGGACGAGCGAGGCCAAGGAGGCAAAGAGGTGAGCACACCAACCCGCAATGTCTGGTGAGGCATGTGAGCTGTGTGTGTGATGCCCCCTTCTCTGCCTCCGCTCTTCTGCTCTCCCCTCCTCCTCCTCTCTCTCTCCTCTCCAAATTCATAGCTCTGCCACTTCTCGCTCCTCTCTTCCGCACTCCCCACTTCTTTTCCCCTTCTGCCTCTCCTCGTGTGCACTTGCACCTGTCGTCTTTCCAGATAGCCAATCGCAGCCAGCAGCATCAACTCACCTGCTCAACCCAACAACACCATCTCCCCTCTGTTTTCCTCGAAACAGCACCTTCTCCACCTTTTCCCTTTCTCTCCCCGCCCGGCCCATCCTCCCCTGCCCCCCTCTCACCTCCTTTCTCCCTCTCCTCTTGCCTCCCTCTACCCCCACCAATCAGCCACGGCACAGCAGCGGAAGCGCTGGAGTCAGACGCACCGGGGCTGCTGCAGGTGCTGCAGCAGAGGGGGCTGCTGCGCGGCATCCAGCTCTTCGACCTCGCCTTCATGCGCTCAGCAGGAACAGCAGGACCACCAGAAGCAGCAGCAACCGGCGGCAGTGAGGAGCAGCCGCACACTGCCCCCCACGCTGGTCTCCTCCCCTCTCAGAGGGGCGAGCTGGGGGACGGGGTCGGTGGGGCTGATGTCAGCTGTGGCAACGGGATGGCGGGGCAGAGGGGGGAGATGGGGGTGGATGGGGTGGATAGGGTGGATGGCGAGGGGCAGGCAGGGTGTAAGATGGAGTGGGATGAGGGAGGGGTGGGTGCTGGGCCTGGCGTTTGGACAGAGCTTGAGTGCACGCACTCTGGTGATGCTGTGGCAATGCCTCAAGCAGAAGCAGCAGCAGCAGGAGGAGGATCAGGAGCAGGAGAAGCAGCATCAGCGCCAGTGGCAGTGCCCTCTGACTTCTCCGACCTGCAGAGGATTCTGTCCCGGGTACTCTCTGCTCTCCCAACCCCAATTTGTTTTTTGTTATTGTTTGATTTTTTGTTATTGTTTGTTTGTGTGTGTGTGTGTGTGTGTGTGTGTGTGTGTGTGTGTGTGTGTGTGTGTGTGTGTGTGTGTTTTTCCTTCGAGAATTCCCTCACAGTGGCTCCTTGGACCCACCAATTATCTTCCTTATGCCACTCTGCTCTCCCTGCTGCACGCGTGGGGGCCGGCTTATATGTGCATCTTGCCTGAGGCGCCTAAATCAATGGACCATCGGAGCGCGTGTATAGAGCGGACATCTACAATTGCACATTTGCCCTGGAGCATAGTGTGGGGATGCCACTTGTTCCAGCGAGGACACTCTGATGTGATCCAACCCTCTTGTCTCTGCCGCTCTCTCTCATTCAATTGCTTCACCCACTTTCCGTCTCTACCCTCCAACTTCCGGCCCATATCCCCGCAACCCCTCCACCACCCAAAGCTCAACACACGTGGGAGCGCCTGCCAGGGCAGGGCAGATGCCTTTCGAGACGCCTCAAAAGCCCTCCCAAATCCCCCCATTCTCTCCCCTGCCCCACCGCCCCCCAGCTCTACTCGCACACGTGGGAGCGCCTGCCAGGGCAGGTGGCGGGGGTAGGGGGCGGAGCAGGAGCATGGAATCGGCCAGCGTACTGCGTGGAGAACCTCGTCGCTCTCATCACCCAGGTGCGTGTGTGCTACTGCCTTGTGAGTCGACTCAGCAGTCAGCAGCAGGGTGGAATCTGCCAGTGTACTGCGTGGAGAACCTTGTTGCCCTCATCACGCAGGTGCGTGTGTGCTACTGCTTGCTCAGGTGTGTGCTGCTGCCTGCCTGCTGTTTGAGTCGACTCAGAAAGGAAGGGCGAAGGGTGGAGCAGCAGGGTGGAATCGCCCGGCGTACTGTGTGGAGAACCTCGTTGCCCTCATCACGCAGGTGTGTGTGTGCTACTGCCTTGTGAGTCGACTCAGCAGCCAGCAGCAGCAGCATGGAATCGGCCAGCGTACTTTGTGGAGAACCTCGTTGCCCTCATCACCCAGGTGCACGCTAGTGCTACTGCCTTGTGAGGCGACTCAGCAGCCAGCAGCAGGAGCATGGAATCTCCTGGCGTACTGTGTGGAGAACCTCGTTGCGCTCATCACGCAGGTGCGTGCTGCTGGCTGTGCTGTGCTCCTTGGCTTCTGCCTTGGGTTTCACCTTGCAGAGTGCGATACTGGATAGATAGTACAAGTATCAAGCAGTGTTCCGTCATGCTATTCTTGTCCGTCTCTCCCCCTCCTCCCTCACCCCTCTACCAACCCTCTCCCCACCCGTCCTTTTCACCACCCCCTGCCACCCCTATCTCTCTCCGCTCAGGCGCACGCGGTGCAGCAGGCGGGGTGGCAGGTGTCGTGGGGCTGGTGTGGGGCCATCCGCTGCTTCCTCTTTGTCTTCCCAGACCACAACAGGTGAGTGGAATGACAAAGCCACAACAGGTGAGATGACACGTCACACCGCCACAACAGGTGAGATGACACGTCACACCGCCACAACAGGTAAGGGGCCTCCAGTCCTACTGCCTTCTCTCCCCTCCTCACACCCAAGCCTATCCAACCTCTCGCCTGCCTTACAACCTGATTCATCCGACTCAGAAATCATCTGCCTTTGCAACCTCCTCTCCTCCCTGCACCCCAATTCCTGGCCCCACTGCCCCCCCTATACCCCCAACCACACGGCTGCCCGGAAGGATCATATTGGAGGAACCAGAGTACGGCAGAACAACCCACTTCACCAGCCCTCCCAAGCCTGACCATCCTCCCTCCCTGCACATCTCCCCTGCACCTGTTGCCCGGCAGGATGATATTGGAGGCGCCAGAGTACGTACGGCAGGCAAGGCCATCTACTTCTTTGAGCTGGAGGGGTGGTGACTTCTGAATCGACTCAACAGCCACACCGCTGCACCTACCTTCATACCGCTGCACCCCCCACTGTGCCACTGCACCCCCCACTGTGCCACTGCACCCCCCACTGTGCCACTGCACCCCCCACTGTGCCACTGCACCCCCCACTGTGCCACTGCACCCCCCACTGTGCCACTGCACCCCCCACTGTGCCACTGCACCCCCCACTGTGCCACTGCACCCCCCACTGTGCCACTGCACCCCCCACTGTGCCACTGCACCCCCCACTGTGCCACTGCACCCCCCACTGTGCCACTGCACCCCCCACTGTGCCACTGCACCCCCCACTGTGCCACTGCACCCCCCACTGTGCCACTGCACCCCCCACCCACCACATGGCTGCCTGCCAGGATCATACTGGAGGCGCCGAAGTACGGCAAGGCGACCTACTTCTTTGACTAGACTTAAACGCGGCTTATAATCCACATTGCTGCACACCTCCCACCACACCGCTGCACCTCCCACCACACCGTTACCTGCCAGGATCATATTGGAGGCGCCAGAGTACGGCAAGGCGACCTACTTCTTTGAGCTGGAAGCGGGGGTGGCGGTGCGCTGGCAGCTGCAGCGCCTGCTCGCTGTCTTTGGCGCCGCCTCTGTGTCGCGCATCGACGTCATCACCAACCTGCCTCTTGAGGTCCACACCTCTCAAATTGCTGGTCCACTCTTTCTCGGCGACTCTAAAGTCTACTCTGACAATCGAGTACTTATTTTATTTAATATATATATGAGTTTTTTGTTACCATCCAGTGCAGTACTGGTCTCTCAAGGGGTCATTGTGATCCACGTAGGCCACAAACACGCAGAAGCGCAATGTCAAACATGCCCCTGCCTCACCACCTTCTCCTGCATACCATCCATTCCAGCCCACCTCGTGTGCCTCCGCAGTCCCATACCTCCCCTCACTCCCCTCTTCCTTTCTGCCACTTTTGAGAATGATAAAAAGCGTCTCTTCCTTTCTTCCCGCCAGGTGGGAGTGGACCTATCGGAGGAGGAGGCGGGGCGGTTGGAGCGGTACGGGTGGGTGCGGGGCACGGGCATCGGCGAGCTCCTCAACTTCTGCCACCGCCTCCGCCACGACTACTCCTTCCCTGGCGTGGGGCAACGGAGCTCGGAGGAGGGGCGAGAGGGTGAGAAGGGGGGAGACGGGGATGGGGAGGGGAGAGGAGAGGGGAAGGGAGGGAAGAAAAAGGGGTGGAGGAAGCGGGGAGTGCGGTTTGCAGTGGTGGAGAGGGAAGAGGCGTGCCATCCTGTGCTGGCTGCAGCAGAGGAGGCAGAGAGGGAGAGGGAGAGGAGGGAGAGGGAGGAGAGGGAGAATAGAGAGCAGGAGGAGAGGAAAGGAGGGGATGAGGAGGTGGGAGGTAGAGGAGAATGCGCAGGGGAGAGTGAGGAGCAGGCAGAGCTGGAAAGACAGCTCCGTCAATACGAGCAGAGACAGCAGCAGCAACAAAAGTCGGAAGCAGATGGAAACGAAGCTGACAGGAAAGAAGGAGGGTCTGAACGACTGACTCACCACCCTGCCGAGCCTAGTTGCCAGCCACCGCAGCACAAGCCTGATTCCGAACCTGCCAGGCTCAATTCCGAGCCCGAGCCTGCGAGCAGAGTGGAGGCAGCAGGGTGGGTGCAGAGCATAGAGGAGTGGAAGAGGCGCATTGCCCTGCGGCTGAGGGAGGGGCGGCAGCAGGGCCGGTGCTCCCGCCTGCACCGCTACTGCCAGCAGCGTGCCTCACAGCACACTCATGCTCTCAAAAGTGGTCTGCACAATGGTCTGCAGGCCGATGGGCACGGGGTGTTTGATGCGAGCAGAGGGCCTGTTGGGGCTGCCGTGATGCCGTCAACTCAGAAGTTCCCGGAAACTGCTGTAGCAGCTGGAGTCACTCCTATGGCTGCCCCACTGCAGCAGATTGACTGTGATCTTGCTCAACACTCGCTGCAGCATGAGAAGCAGCAGCGGCAACAGCAAGCGCAAAACCCGCAGCAGCAGCAGCAGCAGCAGCAGCAAGCGCAAAAACAGCAGCAGCAGGGTGCAGTGAAAGAGGAGGATTCTGATGACGACCTTCCCTTGCAGGCCCTTGTGCGGCAACACCAGCAGAAAAAGACAAGGCGCGAGCAGACGCAGCAGCAAGGGCAGAAGAAGGTTGATGGGAGGCAGGAAGGGAAAGAACAAGAATGTGATGCTGCAGGCAAGAATACTGGAAGCAGGGGTGCATTGGGGAGCACAGGAGGTGCCTGTAAGCACCAAGGACTGCTGTTGCAGAGGCCGAGTGAGAGTGCAGCAGATGGTGCTACAGTGACCCCTGCAGTTGCTGCCACGACTGCAGCAATAGGTGCTGTGGTGCACGTGATAGGGACCTCAGTTCACAGTGTGACAGGCAGTGCTGCAGGTGCAGACAGCAAAAGCAATGTGTTGTGCCAGAGGACGGAAGAGGCTGGAGACGAAGAGGGCGTTGACGCCGCCCGCGAGGAGGCACAGGGGCTGCTTATAGCGGGAATGGAGGCATGGGAAGGGGTGGATGCAAGGGGTCCTCTGGACGAGTGGGTGGAGGAGGAGGAGGAGGAGGAGGGAGTGATGGGTGGAGAGGTGGAAATGGCAGGTGAAGGAGAAATGGGAGAGGGCGGTGGGGAGATGGAGGGGCTGGCGATGCAGGCTGGGATGTGTATGGCAGCAAATGTCGTGGTTTGAGAAAAGAGAAGGGGGGTGGGGACGTGGGGGTGTTTGGCCTGTTTGGCAAGGAGTTGGTCAGCCAGGTACAGACCTCTGCTTATCTTGCCACAGTCTTCTCCCTTGATGTACCAGTACCGGTACTATGGTACTGTGTGTAGGTTACTACCGTAATACCCCGGATATAAGACCCCCTCCAGTTGTAGACCCCCGGGTCTATAATACGGAGGGGGGTACGCTAAATAGGTCGTTTGTAGTTATACCCCCCTTTTGGGGGGTTAACATTATAAGACCCCCCCTCCCCCCTAGAGACGAGGTCAGTTTATAGGCAAAGAATGAAATTCTGGTAGATTTCAACCCTTTTCTACACCAAATCCCATTACACGTTCACTAAAGAGGGGTAACAGTGAGTCACAAAAGCACATCTATTCATCATCCTGTCCAGCAACCCATTCTTCTACCTCCTTCCCATCATATCGCATGTCATATCCCCGTCATATCCCTGTCACACCTGCTAAAAATGGAGCACATACTGTTCGCATGTCTGGGTTCCAAGTATTATACATGACCATATGATAAGACCCGGGTCTTATAAAAGATAGCCAACTGGGTAATACCCCTCATTTTTGGGGTGGGATTCTTATAATACCCCCGGGTCTTTTATCCGGGGTATTACGGTATTCAGCATCAATCACAACTGTCTGGCTGTTGAAGTGGAAAGGTTTTTGTTTTTGTAAAGTATGCTGGTTCAAAACAAACCACGCAGCTGTAGGTGCTCCTACAAAGGCGAGCGGATTGATCAATTATTACTATCATCCTAAGAGCATGCATCCTCATGCCAGTCCTCTGCATCGACACGGCTAGCCGGCTGAGCAATTATTTGCATTTATTTGGAAGAGCTCGAGCTCTCATGCGACACACCATCTAGAAGTTGGAGCTGCATTCATTCGTTGGAAGCACTCTCTGTCTCCCGTCGCAGCACTCCTACGCCGTTCAGAAGTTGGAGCTGCTCTCGTACGTCTTCCCGGCGCTCCACTTGCTCGGAATCACGTCTTGCAGCACCACCTGCTGCTGGGTGACCGCCGCCGTCACGCGCACGCTCACCTTGCGCCCCGCGCCCACGACGTCCTTGGCGGAGGGCAGCTCCCACCGCGCGCCCCACCCGCCCCTCGTCATGCCCGTCCACTTGTTGCCGTCCGTCGACAGCTCCACCTTCCCCACCGCCGCGTTCCTCGCCGCGCCCAGAACGTAAAGAGCGAAGTAGTACGGGCCGCTGCTCCTCTCGATCATGACCGCCATGCCGCGGCCGTTGGTCGGGCAGTCCACGCTGCGGTACTCGACCTCCACGCTGCCGGATCGGTCGCGGACGATTTTGTCCCACGCGGGGTTGTTGAGCGTGAAGCCGTCGCCGTCGTTGTTCATCGCGCGCACCGTCACGCTAGCTCCCTTGTTGCACCTCTTGCTGTTCTTGCAGGTAACCTGGTAACACGTTCCGCAGGCCTTCCCGGCGCCGAACTTGCTCACGGGAATCTCAGCAACCATGCCCTTGTCGAAATAGGGATTGTCGCCGAAATTCTACAACTCAGGGTAGCACGAGGCACCTTTGTTAAGGTCTTCTGATCTGGCAGATACGGCGTCGGCAGGATTGAGGGCGAGAGCTAGCAGGAGAATTCCCACGCACAGCAGGCCACCGACTTTAGAAACGAGAGCCATCGGAGTGTAGGGAGAAAGAAAGATTCGCTGAGGGCTAGCTGAGCTCTTTATTTGTGACTAGGAACAGCTCAAAATAAAAGACCAGACTTGAAACGTGGAGGCTTGAATATCAGATTCTCGGCGCTGGGCATAAGTCGATATTGATGAGAGTAGGTGCAGAAGCAGGAGATAAATATAGGTGAACGAGTGGTAGGAAAGAATTGGGAGTTGGGGCTTGGCTCGAGTCGCCATCGCGAAGCGATCCGAGATTGGGGCTGTGACAATTATTTTGTTCTCTTGGCGAACTGACTGCGTGGCGACGACAACGAAACCAGGTGTAACGACGTTCGTCACGAGCGTGAGGGTTCAACGAGAATTGTTCGTGGTGACCATAATTGTGAGTTTCTGCTGCAAACCACACATCGCTCCGTCAGTTTCGGGTTTCCTCCAGCGAGTAGTTTCGCGGTGAGGCGAAACAATTATTGGAGCTTCGCAACGTCGTGGTTTTCTGAATGCGTTCCTTATTGGTTGGTCAAGAATCTGGTAACACTGCTCATTTGGCGACCCACACCACATCCAGCTTTCGCAGGTGGTAGTACGTTTTCGCAGCTTTCGTATTTCGCAGTCCCCACTACCCACCCTTCACTGAACCCACTAAGTGAGAAATACAAAAAGCTAGTATTTTTCAGTTAGGGAACATTCCTGTCGGGACACTTCTGTCTCAATCACTTTGTGACACCGAAAAACAACATAAACTGTATTGTGTCCCAAATGCGAGTCGATTTGCAGCGACTTCTACTGTATTTTTTATTGGTCAGCGTGAAATGCCGCTGACGTCGCTGACGAATTGCGAAACGACCCGTCATTGTTTAAAAACCGTACTCGACTCGAAATGCCCGACACGACCACATGCACCTGGACACCTGAAAATGCCGATTTCGCGGGGGAAAAAAATCCCGCGCATCGAAACTACGCCCCTGCACGGAGGTTGAAAAAACGGGTGTACTGTTACCCAATCAAAGCACACAATTGTACAATTCTCTTTGATCGCAGCCAATGAAAAATGTCCAACAGTACCTGCCAATCTGTCGCCCTACGTCTCGGTACATTCGATATTTGTGACGTGACATTGGGTAAATTTATAGGCGCGACTCGGGAAAATGGAGATTGAGACACAAGTGTCCCCACTAGAACGTTCCCTCAAATAGTATACGCGAACACTCTAGCTTGTAACTCGTGCAGTACCCTTTTCCCTTGGGTTTACATGCAACACGTCGTGATCTTCCTCTCCTCTCCTCCCCCCCCCCCCTCCCCCTCCCCGCGCCGTATCTGTGCCATGTTCCGCCATTCACTCAAGAGGCGTTAAAAGTAACGACAACCCCTCCCACCACCAGCGGAGTCACCATCAGGGTAGGCCGCTTTTTCAAGATTACCCTGCCAAAATCAGGATTCCACGAAAGTTACCCTTTTGCAAAAAGAGCATGTTTTTTTTTACCCTGATAGGATTTATGCTTAGCCTGACAGTATCAGGGTAGGGTGTAGACTATCCTGATACCGAAACCTTTTTACCGCGGAACACCCTACCCTGATACCGAAACCTTTTTACCACGGATCAGGCCATACTCCGCTTGGTAACGAACAGTACCACACCCACACAAACAAGCGTTGTCGCTTCTTACCACTGGCATAAAACCAAGAGTTGTCAAAGTATATGCATGTTATATATGTGTAGGCTGTAGTGGGGTAAACATGGGGTACAGACCCTTTTAGGGTTTCATACTTGTACCCAACTCTTTCATAGTTCATTCATTCCTGTCTCTAGATTCTAACATGGTATCAGAGCAGTAGGTCCGTAGGACCGTTTTTTTCGGGCCCACCTACCGCTACCCCACGCCTGTGACTGTGACTGTGCCTCTGACGTGCTGCGCTACGCGCGCCGTCTGCCTGCTGCCTGCTGTCTGCTGACTGCGCGGTCTGCTGCTACTTAGAGCGCGCAGACCCGATTCCTGCGCGCGGCCTGGTTTTTGCCCCGCGCGTCGCCCTAGCTAACCGAGTCCCGCCTCGGCAGCCCGCGCGCGGCTCGCTGCTGCTCCGTGCGCCGCGTCCGCAGCCCGCGCTGCTTGCTGCAGCCCCGCGCGTCGAGTCCGCTGCCCGCGCGTCGCGCTGCAGCCCCGCGCGTCGCGTCCGCTGCCCGCGCGTCGCGCTGCAGCCCCGCGCGCCGCGGCTGCCGTCCTCGCGCAGCCCGCTGCGGCTTCGCGCGCCGCGCCCGCAGCTCGTGTAGCCCGCTGCAGCCCCGCGCGCCGCGTCTCTCCCTGTTCGACGCGACGCCCCCCCCCCCCCCCCCCACCCCCCCCCTTGGACGCCGCCCCTGCCTGACTGTCGCCGTCGCTCCTGCAGCAGCTGCCGCGGAGCGCCCTGCCACGGTCGCAGCCCCGCCCTGCAAAAGCTGCCGCGGAGCCGCCTGCTGCTGTCGCGGCCCCACCCTGCAGCAGTCCTCGCGGACCCGCCCTGCAGCAGTCCTCGCGGCCCCGTCCTGCAGCGGTCCTCGCGGCCCCGTCCTGCAGCGGTCACGGCCCCGCCCTGCAGCAGATGTCGCGGACCTGCTCTACCGCCGATGCGGCCCTGCTCTGCCGCAGCTGTCGCGGCCCCGCCGTCGCCGCCGTCGTGCGCCTACCCGGCCGCCGCCCGCCGAGCGCCGGCCCTGCTTGCCCGGCGAGCACCTGCCCTTCTCGCCACTGGTGAGCACCTACCTTGTTCGCGCGCTGCTGCGTCATCTGCCTGCCTGTCTGCCTGCCTGCCTGCCTGATTGCCGCACCTGCCCTGCCCGCGCTGCTACTGCTGCTACTGCTGCTACTTCTGTTACTGCTGCTAGGCTGCTGCTGCTGCTACTGCTGCTACTTCTGCTACTGCTGCTACTGGCGGTGGCCAGATGCAGCTCCAGCGACGTCCACGCGAGTCTCTCCCGCCACAGCAGCTTCGTGAGTGGTACGCTAGTTGGGGTTGTGGCGGTAGCCGTCGTAGCTGTCGCCCTGGAGCTGGTCAGTTGGGAGCGTCTGGCAGTGGCCAGCTGCAGCTGCAGCGGCGTCCACGCGAGACACTTACGTCCCAGCAGCTTCACGAGTGGTACGCCCAGAGTAGAGGGTCTTGGAGTACCTTTCGCTGCCCGTAAGCCATTCGCACGGGTGATCGGTGTGAGAGTACGACGGCTTATGCCAGCTATGCTTGCTTGCCTTACTTTATTATGCTATTTCTAGCATAGGATAATTATATGCATGCATGAATTGCTTGATTTCCTAGGCTAGGTGCTTTCCTATATTTTATTATAGTTA